CAGGGAGTGATGACAGGAAACTACATAATGAGCAGTCAGCCATCCAGCTATCCTGAAGAGCATTCCAGGCAGAGAGAACAAGTGCGGAGGCTCTGAGGCAGATGCAGCCGGAAGGCAGCGTGGCCCGAAGGGAGAGGGGGAGAGTGAAGCCGTAAGGTTAGGGCAGACGGGAACACACAGGCCATGGCGGGGGATTTGAATTAAATTCTAGAAGACACAGCCACAGCCCTTCAACTCCTCTAACTATGGTGGTAACACAATCATGTTTATGTTTTAAACTTTGTGCAAACTGAGTACAGACAGGATTGTAGGGGGATAAGAGAGGAAACAGAGAGAGCAGTTAGGGGGCTGCTGTCATGAGCCAGATAGGACTGAAAATGGCTGGGAGCAGGGTGGTGGGAGTCGATAGGTAGAATAGGTTATTGGATCTGACATATGTAATGGAGGTCCAGGGAGCAGGGTGAGAGGCAGGGGGAGGCTGAGAGAAGAGCAAGAGACTCCCGGGTTAACCCAATTCTGTTGGCTGCTCCTTCTCGGCCCTGGGTGAGCAGAGGTGGGCGGAAGGGAAAGTGTGGACAGTAAAACTCGCCCTAATCCCACCTAAAAGCTTACGCTCAGAAGTTGCTCTTTTGCTTTTATCACCAGGACACCGAGTCTGCTCACATTTTATCAGTTGGTTTTGCTCCCATCTATTCCATGGGCCACGCTCCCTCAACCCTCTTTGTGGTTCCCCCCTTCACTTTGACCTCTAAATGTTTGGAGTGTACCAAGGTTCAGGTTTAGAGCTCTTCTTATTTATGCCCGCTGCCTAGGTAATCCATTCCATGTCTTGGCTTTTAAAAATCACCTGTGTGCTGAGCACTCCCAAATTTATATCTTCACACTAGACCTCTCTCCCTGAATTCCAGACTCATACACAACTGCCTACTCAACATCTCCACTTGAATATTCAGTCGCTCAGACTTACTATTCTCTGCACCCCCATCTCCCCTTTCACTGCATACACACACACACACACACACACACACACACACACACTCACACACTCATAACCTTCCCTCACTTGGCTCCAGCCACACTGGTCTCCTTCCTCTTCCTCTAATGCAATAAGCCTTTGCACCTGCTGTTCCCTCTACCGGAATGGCTTCTTCCCCAGATATCTTTTTTTATTATTATTATTATTATTATTATTATTATTATTATTGATTTCAGAGAGGAAGGAAGGAAGGAGGGAGAAAAACATAATTGATGAGAGAGAATCATTGATTGGCTGACTCCTGCATTCCTCCCACTGGGTATTGATCCTGCAACCCAGGCATGCACCCCCAACTGGAATTGAACTCGGGACCCTTCAGTCCACAGGTTGACGCTCTATCCACTGAGCCAAACCAGCTGGGACCCCCAGATATCTTAATGCCTTACCTCCGTCAGCTGTCTGCTCCAACATTAAGTTTTCAGTGAGGCCTTCTTTGACCAGCCTGTTTGCAATTGCTACCACCTTCCTCCATCTGTCAGCCTCATTTTCCTTAGTGGTTGTCGGTATCTATTCTATACACTGTTTGCTCTGCATCCCACCACTAGAATGTGAACTTCATAATAGCAGGGCTTTGTCTCTTATACCCTGCTTCTCCTTAATCAGATCACAGCCTGGCTCATGATTGGCACTCAACAGCGAATGAATGAATGAATCCAGTTAGGGAAAGACCTCCAGTCCTCAAGAAGCAGCCCGGGTCCGAGAATTAAGACCTGATTTCTAGTACTCGCTTTGGCACTAGCCATGTGGCTTCCGGGCCTCACGCTGTCTCTCTGTAAACAGTGGAGAACTTCTGGTCCTTTGCTGGTGCAGCGTTCTAGAAGGAGGCTTAGTGATAGCCCACCTTCGGCCATTTGGCTGAGGGTAGAAGGCAGGGATAGACAGGACCTGGTGGAGTAAGAGGAAAAGAACTCTTGCTCCTTCTTTCTAGTCAGGGTTTGGGTGGAGTCTCCACTGGTTTTGACATGAGAGGCAAGGGTTTGCCTTGGACTCGGAGCGCTGGTGAGGAAGCGTGAGGGAGGGGTCCAGCCCCGCCTGCTGAGTGCGGACAAGTAGCGGCCTGGTCCCTAAGCCTGGCTCCTCCGCGTGGGGAACCTGTGCCTGTGAGGGCCTCGCGGGAAGTGCTGTGTGAGAAAAGGAGAAGGGAAGGTGGGGAAGAACCAGGAAGGGAGGACTGCGGGCTTCTGTGGCGTCGCCTGGGCCTGCGCATTGGTCTTCAGTGGAATTCTGGGAGATGAAGCCTCCACACAGACCCCGGCCAGCGCCCACTCCGAGACAGACCGGCAGGCCTTTTGGCTGGGGAAGGCCCAGCCCTCCTCCTTTTCCTGGGCCTCGCAACAGCTCCCTGCTTGTTTTCCCCGAAATAAATGGGCTGAGCATATTGGGCCGGCAATAACCCCTTGAAATCAGTTGTTATCACAGTTAACAACCAGTTTGGCTTCAGTTCAGGCTGTTAACTATCAAACCGCTAAGTGCCGGTAATGATTGATTCTTGGCCAGTTGCAGCTTGAGTGGGCTGTAAAACCCCATTAGCGAGGGTTCTGTGGAGGCAGCAACTCAAAGATAAACAAGGTGGTGGGTGCCCTAGCCAGGCCTAGCCCACTGCTTTGGGCTCTGCCCCATGGCACCTTGGCCTGGGGTCCTGCTAGGATCCAACCTCTTCCCAAAGCCTCAGGCAGTCTCCTGGACCAGATACCTATCATCCCGTCCACTTCCCCCCACCCTACCCTATTGTCATCTCCCTCCTCCCTATGGGCAGGCCCAGCTCTACGGACAGCCCACCTCTTCCCCCTTATCACAGCCATAGCACAGTCCCCCCCCACCGCCCCGGAGTCCTCAGGCCTCAGGGTCGCTTTGGCCTCGCCAGTGGCCAGCCTTGGCCCGGCCTGGCCCCGCTTTGTGGCCAGGATCACAGGCGGGGAGAGCCTGACATTCCACCCCACCCCAGACTCCCTCCTGTCCGGTGGCTTCCCCCAGGAATTGCTCTCACACAAATGAAACGCGGGTAATTACTGGCGAGGGGCTGGACAGGCGGCCTGCAGATGAAAGAGTTTCCTGGACGGTCTCTTCATTTGCATGGCATCAGAAGCTGCTCAGAAGGTGTGACTTTTCCCACAGTGAGACCCAGCGCCCTGCACAATAAAGCCAGGCTGCTCACCCAGAATTAATTAAAGGGGGAGGGGAGGAGATGGAGCGGGAGTTGGAGGCACCAAGAGCCGGGAGCTGGAAGAGAGATGTCTAGAGCGCCCCCCCCCTCCCCAAGTCCCAGTGTCTGCAAACCAAACCTACTGTCCCCAGAACCCCTCACCCTAGAGCAGGCTGGAAGAAGCGACGTGGACAAACCGCAGGCTATCCCCCATCTCACTACTCCGAGGCTTCCCGGAACCCTGGCATTCCTGATCCACCTGGATGGCCTGAGCCTGGGACTTGCAGCTGCAACTCTGAGAGACCCATGTGTTTAGAAAGCCTTGGGGTGCTCGCCTGCCAAAGGAGGTGCCACAGAACAGACGTGCAGAGGGGAGAAGTTTCTGGATTGTCCTCGGACCTAGGAGCTGGGCACCCTCAAAGAAGGTAGCAGAAGCAGCTAGCCCGGGAGGCCTCAGTTACAGAGCCTGGGCCAGCTCTGCCTTCAGGAGACCAGTTACGTCTGGGTTTGGGCTCTTCATCTTACCGTCCCATGGTGTGGTATGATACCAGTGTCACCAGTTCCCATCCTAACACACCTCCGTCCACCCGCCATGGACCGTCCCCTCGCCCACACCATGACCTGCTCTACTAGCCCGACTTCTGCTTCCCCTCCCATCCCATGCCCAGTTCCCCTCCCTCCAAGCCCCCTCTCTCCAAGGGGGCAGCCACTGCCTAAGCCACAGTCCCTGGGCTCTTTGGCAGCACCTGAGCTCAGCACCTTCTGCTCACAGCTCTCTGACCAGATCTTCGAAAGGGAACACTTGTTCTGTGTCACGATTGTCAACACCAGCCCTGGAGGTCCCCCCTCTGACACACCCCCACCTTAGGCCCCGGCAGCTGCTCTTTTCTTTCATTTTCTGGAGCCTGAGACTCAGAGAGAATGAGCCTCGGCACCTCCTGTCTCTCTCGCAGACCTAGGCACACACACAGGCACTTCTCTTAGACTCACGGAGTCCGCGGTCGCAGCTCTGGCCCTAGGAGAGCCATCATTTCTGGCCCAGAGGTGGCCTGGGGGAAGTGTTAGCAATAAATCCTGTTAAAAGCTAGGAAGTCCGTGTCTCCCAGGACCTGCTAAGAGCCTCTTCTCGCGCCTTCCCCTGCTCCTGTCCTCCCAGGAAAACCCTCCAGTGACAGTGATGGAGACAGCAGACAGGCATGGGCCTCAGGCTACAGGGAGGCTATAGTCAGAGATGGGGCCTGATTTGCTGCATCTCATAGCCCCCGCCCCCATTCCCCCTGAACCACTGGGGCAGGGAAGAGGGGAGGGAGGTTGACCCCAGCAGGACTCACCCACCAACACACATTTTTAATATGCAAATTAAATAAATATTTCAGTCATTTAATAGCACTAGTACACAACCGCCCCCCACGGATGCCCACCCTCACAACGCCTGACCTAAGTGCTTCCCCGCCCCTCTCTGCCCCCACCCGGGGGTGCCGTGGAGCTCCTGGCTGCCTGGCCAGCTGGCCCTACAGGCACTGGGGGCTCAGGAGGCTCAGGGGCACCTTTGCCGGATTAGAAAAGGCCCCCTGACTCCTGGGCCACTACCCAGCCTTCCTGAGAGTGAAGAAGACACCACAGCCAAGTGGAATACAAAAATAGAGCCTCTCTTTTGTTTAAAAAAAAAAAAAACCAACAGCAAACAATTATCAACAACTAGAACCCGGGGCTCCCCCGGCGGCTCCCCAGCCTTCAGGGGCGCAGACCGCCTCTTGCTGAGTTTGTGGGTCTGTGCTCCCCAGAGGCCCCGGCGGGGAGCTGCGGGGGGCCGGCCGGCGCCTATCGGGGCTCCGGGGCCCAAGTCCGCTGGCTGCCCCGCAGGCTGCGCGTGAAGGGCGGGTAGTTGAGGAACTCGAAGCGCAGGCTCTGCTCGGTGGTGTGGTGGCCGCGGGGCAGGCGCTTCATGAAGTGGACCTCGCGCTGGTGCTGCCGCGTCCTGGAGCCCTTGCGGGGCCGGCCCTTGCGGGTGAAGGCCATGTACCAGCCCTCGTACTTGGCGTTCTGCAGGGCCGTGTAGTTGTTCTCCAGCACGATCTCCGTGAACACGCAGTCCTTGCCCTTGCCGTTGCTCTGCAGGTAGGAGCGCCAGACGCAGCGTTACTGGGCTCTCTGCGGAGCCCCCGCCGCCCCCCCCCCCAGAGGCAGAGGGCAGGCGGCCCCAGACAGCAGGTGGGCACCCCAGCAGATGGCACGGTGGGCAGGAGCTGCAGCCTCACCCCCTGCCCGGCACCGGCTCTCTAATCCCTCACCACCCGCAGCCCACCCGGCAGCTTCCTGTCCGCCCGGGCAGCAGTGCCACATGGCCATCCCCCGGCAGGGCTGGGCCCGCCACAGCGAGGGGAGAGGGGCCCGGACCCTGCCCGCCCTGGCCTCCTGCCCGCCAGTCTGGCCCGAGCAGCGAGCACCCACCCATTTCCCCAGCTGCCCCCCTCGGTCCCTGAGGGTTCGGGCTGCAGGGCCCCTGGGCAGCCACCCCCTGGGGGAGGGGAGGCCCGCCAGGAGGTGCTGAGCCTGCAGCCCCAGAGGCCCAGCAAGAGAGCGGGGAGCTCGAGGCTGGAGAGGAGCCGTGACTAATGGGGCCATTTCAGAGCTCGGCCGAGGGGCTGGGCCTGCGGCTTACTGAACATTCCAAATGCTGGTACCATGTAATTGGACATAATAGCAAAGCAATTTGGCGATTTGTTAAAAAGATATATGGAATTTACCGGCCTCCCCCCAAGCTCCTTCCCCGAGCCTTCCTTCTTCCCTCTTTGCCTTTAGGGCTCTTCCTCTCTCAGGCAGTTCCCTTCTCCCTCACCTCTCCCTCCCGAGCATTCGGTAACCCCGAGGTGGCCGTGTGTCCCTGCCGCCCTGCTGACATCCTAGGCCCCAGCCGCTCCCCGGGCCCCCGGCCACTCCTCCCGGGACCCCTTCCTTCTGGGGCGTCACCTTGGCAATCAGTTTCCCCTTCTTGTTCATGCAGATGTAGAGACCCGTCTCAGCTCCTCGAACCCGAACCCGGCTCCCAAAGGTATCCGTTTCCACAATGAGCTTTGCTGTCCGGGACAGAGGAAGGAGGTTACTGGAAGCTCCCCACGGACCTGGGTCCTCGCCCCAGCTGGCCACACACTTGTCACATCCTACAGCACCTGCTCGAAGGCCCAGGTGCCCAAGAGGTGGGCGTCAGCCCCCTAGGCAAGACCAAGCCCCCTTCCCCGCCTCAGGCCCCTCCCCGAGGCTTACAGAGGAGGATGGACAAGATCACGGTGTACCCACTGGGTTCCGCAGAGCGGCTTTCCAATGGGAAAGAGTCTCTTAAAACCAGACAGTAATGACGTGTATGTCAAGGCTTCCCGACTAGAGTTCTCCTGCTAATCGGAAGATCTATGAGGACCCTTCCAACTCAAAACATTGTGTGCACGGGCCTGCAGCTAATTATATACATCTGGGTGCGGTGCCGACCTCCAGTCCTGAGGCTAAATGTCAAAGCATTCCCTCCTGTTTCTAGTACCTCGGGGTCTAACTCACATCCCTGCCACCCACCCGCCCACCCCCCTTCCCCACTGCTGCTCTGCTGAGAAGGAGACGGGGATGGCACAGCTCCCCCTCACACAGCCCCAGCCCGAACTCAGATGCCAGCGTGGAGGATCCCGCCTCTTCCCCATGCTTCCCAGGCACCCAGTCCCCAGCCCCAGTGTCCAGAAACCAACCGCTCATTGGTTTTTCCTCTTTCAATGGCCATCACAGCGAGGCTTCTCCCCCCAGGGACCCAGCCCTTTCTGAGGGTGCGGAGGGAGGAAATAAGGCACACTTTTCTCTGTCTGCAGAGGAAACATGGAGCTGAATGTATGCCTTCTTCCCCCTCCGCCGTGCCTTCAGACAGCCAACTTGCCCCAGAGGCCAATTCCTACCCACTCTCCGTGTCCTCCTCCCTTTGAGGCTGCCTTAGCCCTTTGGGACAGAAGGGGATGGGTCTCCTGCCATCCCCGCTGCAGAGCTCAGCCTCTTCCTGCCTGGAGAAAGCTCTGGGACTCCTCCAGTGACAAGGCCGCACCGCCTCTGTCTCTGAAACTCCTGGGAAGATGGGCATCAGGGTCAGCAAGACACCTTCACGGCACCTGTGGGCCAAGTACTCCCCAAGGCCCCTCCCCAGACCTCTCTTCTCCAGCTGCCCCCCCCCATAAGCACGGAGCTGGGACCCCGCAGCCAAGTCCTCAGTCTGGCTCCCAGTCAGCCAGGGGAGAAGGCAGCTGTCACCTCTCCTCCCACCCACCACCTCCTCTTGGATCCAGCCAGCCTGCTCACCCCTTCCCTGCGCCGTCCTCCTGGGCCAGGAGCGGACGCTTTTAAGGGCCAGGACAGACGGACGCTGATGGGCTAAGGGCAAGAGAGGATCCCCTCTGAGGACTCTGGCCACGGGGGGCGGACAGGGATGGAGGAGGCCCCCCCTGTCCCTCCCTGGGGCCCATCAGAAAGCCGCTAGGACCTCTCTGCTGCTCTTTTCCAGACGCTTCCTGTCCTGGCTGCACACCCCAAGCCTCTGCTTTTCGGCCCTCCCGCTTCCCCTCCTGCCCGGCAAGCAGGGCCCACGGAGCCCGGGAAGCAGCCTATTTGCTTAAGGAGAGACGTGGGCGTCAGCCCCCTGATGTGAAAGACAAGTTTTTCCACGGCCAGCGCGGCCTCTCCCTCCCTCCCCAAAACCCCAAAACCCCAAAACCCAGGGATGCCTGGCCATTTGCTCTGACGGAGTGAGCCCAGAAGGAGCCAGGCAGGCATGCGTCCCCGCTCCCTGGAAGCTGAGAAGGGCAGCTCGCAGCCCCTCTGGAGGGACAAAGGGTCGATTGGCTGGCCCTGCCAGCCCAGCGGGGAGCTCGGCCACCGTGCAGGCCGCCCCCGCCCCCACCGTCCAGAGCCCCCACTCCCCTTCCTGGATGTTTCTGGGGAGCTGGGGCTGCCGTCTACAGCGGCTTTCCCCGGCCCGGGCTTTTGGAAAGCTTAACATTTTCAAACCTATTCTTCCACCCAGTGACAGATTTATCCCAGGAAAATTATGTCTCCTTCTCCAGCTTTGAAGGGAAGTCAGCTACGTCGACGCAGAAAAAATGCAGCGAGACATACCCGATCCCCCACACTGGCTCGAGAAGAGGAGAAAGTATTCAGGAAATGTTAAAAAAGGTGAAAGCAAGAAGAGTTTTAATCGCTCTGCCAGACGCGGGGGTCTCTCCAGAGATTCATAGAGAACAATCTTGAACCTCTTTTTTTTTTTTTTTTTTTTTTTTAACATTTACAGACTTGCAACTCTTTTCAAAACTCCACATCTGAAAAAGGGGGCTTGTTCTTTTTCTGTTTTATATCATTCTTCATTTTTCTTCTTAGCTCTTAAAGTGCCTCACCTTTTTATTACATTTTAATAGAGTCTTCCCCTCTCCTTTCATGCTTGTTTAACTTGGTCATTATTTAAAGGTTTTTAAACTCACAATAATCGCTCTCTAAAAACAACACCCACCGCCCAGAGGGCTTGCTTTCCTCGGGGTACATCGGGGCTCTGGAAACTGGCCTCGTTTCAAGGCAGGAATATTGAATGTTTTAGAAATCAATCAGTCCTCAGCCTCTCAGGCCGGCCGGGCAGTAGCTCCCTGTACTCACCACCCCACGGGGAGCTGCTCTGACCCACCACCTGGGCTCCTGGGTTAAGTCCCTTCCCCAGGCCCGTTCCCAGGTGGGACTGACCCTTCTGACCACAACCTTTAAAGGTTCACAGCAACAACCAATTCCCCCCACCCCCCAACAAGCTGGGAGCGTGGGGTGGGGGGAGAGACTTCTCTCCCTTCTCTTTCCCACTCTCCTTTTGTGGGCCCTGGCGACATATCCTCTTTCAAGAGCTTCCCTCCAACCTGGCCCCCCTCCCCCTGACCCCTCTGCCGCCTCCACCTGCAGCTGGGGAGGGGTGCCCGCAAGGGGGAGGTGGGAAGGGAAGTTCCTGGATTCATTCATCTGCTGGGCAGGGAAGGGGCACCTGTGGGCCAAGTACTCCCCAAGGCCCCTCCCCAGACCTCTCTTCTCCAGCTGCCCCCCAACATGCCTTAACCCCTTGCCTTCTGAGCCGGCGAGCCTGCAGGCCCCGGGGCCACCACACCACAGTTGGGGCTGGTGGGTGCAGTCTCAGCCGGCCAGGGGAGGGCCTGTGCCACCAGCCGCCGCCTTACCGAAGGGGTCCCCATCCTCCGCCATGGCGTTGATGCGCTTGTTGGCCAGGACCTGCACGTGCTTCCCGCTGGTGCGGCTGTAGAGCTGGTAGGTCCGGATGAGGCGGCGGCTGAGCTGATCCGTCACCAGGCTCTGCTCCCTCACATGCTGTGTAAAATTAGGTGAGGACTGAACAGTTACCTTTAGGAAATTGAAAAATACACAACACGCCATTATAATGCTACTCTGCCCAGGGGCCCAAGTGGCCCCCATTGCCCTGTCCCCCACCACCACCCACCCACCCCTCCCACCCACCCCACCCCATCCACTGCCCCCGGCAGCCGGCCGGCAGGGGCTGGGGGTCCCCCCACCATGCCAGCTCAGGCTCCCACCCCCTCCCGGGAGAGCCGGGCACACCCAGCTCACGTGGACGAGCGGGGACGGGGAGGATGCGGACCCACCTGTTGGGGAACACCCTGGGCCTCGCGCCCGGCTCCGAACAGGGGAGCCAGCTCCCTGCCCGGCGCAGGCCCCCCTCCCGGGCCTTCCTGGAAGAGCAGGGCGCTTTTGAGTAAGGGGGTAGCGCCGCCGGACCCCTGACATTTACACAGACAAACTGACGGGGCAAACGCTGAGGGCGCACAGGGCCCGGGCACCTGATCGCTCCGCCGGACCGGCCACCAGCCGCCCCCGAGGGTGCGAGAGGGTCCCGGCCGCAGCCCCCCGCCCCGCCGGCCGCAGCCCCCGGACCCTGGCCGCGCGCTCCCCGCCCGCCAGCCCCTCCCGGCGCCAGGTGCGGCCCGTGCGCTCCGTTCCCCGTGCGCTCCGGCCGCCCGGCCTCCGAGGGCGCGGGGCCACGGCGCGGGGCTGACCCTGAGCCCCCGGGTCCCGGCTCCGCCGCCACCGCTGGGTGACCTTGTGCCGGGCGATCCTCTGATCCCAGCCCCCCGCCCGGAGAGGTCAGGGTCGGCTGGTAAGGTCCCTGCAGCCCCGCGGCGTCGGTCCCGGCGGCCCTGCCCCACCTGGACCCCGCCGGCCCCCGGCCCCCGGCCCGGCCCCGCGCGGCGCCTACCTGGGCTTGGAGGCAGAGGACCAGCAAGTGCAGCAGCCTGCGGAGACAAAAGCGGGGTGAGCGCGGGCGGGCGCGCGGCCGGGGGGACGGGGCGGCGGTACTCACAGGCAGCGCAGCGCCGCGCGGGGGCCGCCCATGGCGCGGCCCGGAGGGAGCAGGGAGCCGGCGGGAGGAGCGCCGCCCGCGGGCGCACGGGCCGGAGCGGCGGCGGCGAGCGGGGCGGCTCGGGGCGGGGGCCGGCGGCGATGCCCACGCGGCTCCGCGGGTCCCGGGGAGGGCGAGCTGGCCGCGCCGAGTGGCTCCGCGCCGCTGCGGGAGCCGGTGGCCGCTGGCGACTCGGGAGCCGGCGCGGGCGGAGGGTAACGGGCCGGCAGGGTGGGTGGGTAGGTGGGAAGGGGAGGGGGAGGGGTGGGGGCGGGGGGCGCCGCACCGGGCGCGAGGGGGGAGCGCGGGGCGGGCGGCCGGAGCCCGCAGCCCCGGCAGGGAGCTGGGGCCGGGAGGCAGCCCGCGGCGGGGGCGGGGCGGCCGGGGCGGGGCGGCTGGCGGGGCTGGGATTGGGGGTCTGCGCCAGGGGAGGGGTCTGGGGACCCGCCGGAGGGGTGTGGGCCACCGGGGTGGGCGCCTCTCCCCCCCCATCCGGGGCCTGTCCCCTCGCGCGCTCTGGAGGGTTGGACACGCGGGGACGGGGGTGCCTCGGGCTCCCGCTCCATGGGGTCCCCGGGCACTCCACAGGGGCTCCCTGGTCCGGGTGAGTGGGAAGGTGTCAGGGCTCCACGGCGGGGCCCAGGGCTCTCTCGCCCCAGGCGGTGCGACTGGCCATTGAGCCACCTACTGGGCGCTCCCGCTGGGCCACCTACTGTGCGCTCCCCCTGGGCCACCGACTGTGCGCTCCCACCGAGCTACCGACTGTGCGCTCCCGCTGGGCCTGCCCCCAGGGAAGCGGCCGAGGACGCAGGGCTGAAGGGCTGTGAACCCGGCTCCCGGGCAGTGCGTGCGCGACAGGGAATCCAGCCCCGGCCTCCCGCTGAGCACCTCGCTCTGCCTGTCTCTCCTGTCCCGTTCAGTCTCCAAGAAGCCAGAGAGAGAGAGATCTCTCCCTCTCCCCTCCCGCCCCCATCATCACCGTCTCCTCCCGCCCCTGTCCCCCTGTCTCCCACCTCCACCCATACAAACACACACACACACACACACACACACACACACACGCCCGCCAAGACTCGGGAGGAACTAGGAACCACCTATGCTAGGGAGCCCCGAAGTCCCAGGAGAGGACCCCCAGCCCCTGCCACCCCCAAAGCAGCAAGCTGATGGGGCAAAGGAACTGCTGCCCGCTGCTTCTCCTGGGGAAGAGGCTTCACCCAGGCCGCCAGCTTGTCTCTCTCCGTGTCTCATTATTTGTGCACTTGAGGTATTTACACACCTACTGTGTACGAGCGGAGCGGGGGACTGGGGCTTTGTGTCCACGGGGTGGGGGAAGTGCCCAAGGAGGAGGGGGGGGGGGGCTTGTCTGAGCTTTCCCAGCCTCTCACTGCTTCACATCCACCTCCCCAGGTGGAGGCGAGAGGGGGTTTCTGGGGAGCAGCGTGGGGGAGCAGCGGGGGCGGGGGGGGGGGGGGGGAGTACTTCTCAGCAGCAGGTGGAGCCGCTGATGCCCAGCCCAGCTGCTGCCTTTGACCACACCTCCCCTGCCCTGCTGGCCCCTGCTTGTCCTTGGGGATGGGGATGGAGGAGTTGGGTGGTCTCAGGAAGCCATTAAGGCCAGAGGCAGTAAGCAGGCCTTTTTCCAGCAGGCAGCCAAGGTCTGCCTTCCTCTCCTTTCTCTGTGTCCTGCCTCCCCCCACTCCCAGCCACACTGCTAGCACTGAGCAATGTGCACATGGGAGAACAGTCAGAGGACTTGTCCCAAGATCTCTACCCTCCTCAGAGGAGTGGGCTTCCTGAGCCCACCTGCTGCTCCCTCCAGGAGTCTGTTCACTCTGTTGGCTCTTGCCCAGACAGACCTGCAGGCAAGGACCGTGTCTTATGAGCTCGGCACTTGCAGCTCATGGCACAGAGCTGGGCAGAGTTGCTGTGCAGTTCGTATTCGGTGAACCAGCCATGGGGAAACTGGCTGAGCATTTAGACCTCAGCCCATGTGCTGCTTCCCTGGGGAGACTTGCCTTCACCCCCTCGCCCCAACAGATGATAATCATAAACACAACCATTTATTTGCTAGACCCCACTGGGAAATGGCCGCACTGGGTGGGGTGTGGGGAGACAGGTAAGGTGGGCTCCGTTGCCCACGGCCCAGACCATCCCCTTTGCTTTGTTGTGCTCCTCCGAGCTAGAGGCCTGAGGGGCACCTGTTGATTGCTTACCTCCCCAGCTGCACCACTTCAAGCAGGCGGGAGACTCACCACCTTCACCTCGCGCCTGTGCATAGTGGGCCCTTGAAAAGATTCACTTGCATACTTTAATGAATGAATGAGTGGAGAGATAGAGAGCAGAGGACAGGAAAGGCCTTCTCCCCACCAGCGACCAGCACCCCAGCACCCAACCTCTCCTTAGTGTGTTGTGAATGGCCCTGGAGTCACAACCAGAGTGACTCTGGGCACCAGCCTTTCCTGGAGTGGGGGGTGAGAGCCAAAGCTCCTGGCTCAGATCAGGGTCCGACCAGTTTCTGGAGTCCCCAGAAGACTCTGAAGGCCCCGGGCTGAACCTCTGTGATCAGCACCCTCCCCTCTCGCCCAGAGAAGCCAGGCTTCTGGGCCTACAAGTGTGGATGTCAGGGTCTTGGTCCTGCACCTTAACCTCTCCCAAACGGCCTGCCTCTGCAGGACCAGAATTCCTTTACATTTGAAGAACTTCCCCTGAACTTGATCCTCTTCCATTTGGGGGGGATTCTTCTCATCCCCCTAAAAGCCTGTGTCTCTAGAGGGCCACGGATGGGGACACACCCTAACCAGGCCCCAGGTACAGCCTGGGTACCCTCTGTGAGTGACAGATGCAAATATTCCTTAGGGGCCCCAGCAGGCTGCTCCCTCCCGCCCTCGCTCCCTCGCTAGCCTCCCAGCCAGCTCGCCCTCTCCTTTATCTTATCAAAGCCCCGTAATTACAATTGCTATTTTGTTTCCTTGAATCTGCAATCAGAGCTCCCTGGCCCTGATGAGGGAGCGCCTGTCAACCTGATCGCTGAGTGACAGCCCGGCCACCTTTCCCGGCCGCCCCCACACTTCGCAAACACAAATACCCTCTCTCTCTCTCTCTCTCTCTCTCTCTCTCTCTCTCTCTCTCTCTCCTTACCAATACAAACACACACTCCTCACCAACACAGCTTCTCTCGCAAGCACACCCTCGCGGGTACCCCCCCCCCCACACACACACACCTTCAGCCTCTTTCCAAGCGCATCCCTCGCCCCCGGCCCCTCAAATCCACACCAGCTCGCGCAGCTCCATCGCGCGCCTCCTGCGCCCGGCGTTCAAAGCGCCGCGGACCCTCCGCCGACCCTTCAAATGCAAATCGTCGAGACTGCGTTAAGCACTTGGGGCTCCGTCTGGGAGCCGTTCCCATCCCCGCACCAAAGGCAGGTCTGCCTCCCCCCACCCCCCCACCCCGCTTCCTGCAAAGCCGGTGTTCGCCTTCATCCCCCAGTGAATTGGCAGCGCTCCTACTGTGCGCGGAGGGTGCAGGAATGGGAATCGAGGAGAGACCGGGGTTGGGGGAGAAAAATTAATTCCTAGTTCTCTCCGCGGGGCGCCCGGTCCGGCTGGGGACCTCCAGTACCAAGGGGCAGATGTGGATTGGGCCCCCACTGCGGGCAGCAGTCGGTAGGGGACTCGCTGAGACCCAAGACAAAAGTCAGGGCACACAATGAGCCATCATCGGCGTCGCCGAAGGTAAATATTTGAGCTGAGCCATGCGCAGGAGGCAGCTGGGCCGGCCTTCCCCCCTACCAAGCCCGGAGAGATTACTCTTCCCAGCATCCAGCGGGCCTCCCTCGCCTCCAAGCGTGCACGTGCTGAGGGCTTTGGAGGCTGCAGGTGAGAGGAGGTACGGAAGCGTTCTAACCAGAGCCCTCGCAGTGAATGATGAGCAAACGAATTAATTCCGTTTTAATAACTTATTCCCTCACCTTCCGCCCAAACTTCGGTGGCCCAGACCCCTTGCAGGGCACATGGGCCCCAGGACGCCTCAAGCCCCTAAAGAGGCGACTTGGGGTAGCCACACGGCCACCGGTGGTTCCAGCCTCGCCCACCAGAGGGCGCCAGCTTCTTCCTCCCCCATCCCTCTCTGCTCCCTGCTGTGGGAAGGTGACTGCTTGCAAGCCTGGCTGCCCCATTCCACCCTCGTTCCTGGCAGCAGCACTTCAGCAAAGTGCTTCTGGCGAGGATAAAGGGGCCTGTAACCCTGATCGCCACAAAACAGTGGGATCATCTTCTGTCATCTTCAATTCGAGGGAAAGGGAGGTTAAAATCTGGGCCTCTTTGCTCCTCACCACAAAGAGGAGGAACTTCTCAGGATGAAGTGCTCTCCGAAGCTTACCCCAGCTGGCCCCATACCAGCCCCTCAGGTTATCTAGGGACCCCTCCCACTTGCTCACTCATCTGTGGGAGGCAGAGGGCCTGGCCCCAGCAGGCACTGTTCTCTGTCCATCTTCAGCATGTCTGGCCCCAGGCTATCTCAGGAGGTAACCTTTTATTTGTTTGTTTGTTGGCATTGAGACACCCCCACCCCATCAACACAGCTGCTGAACTGCTGACCCCAGAGTTGGCCACAAATACAACACATCACATCAAGTAGGTCCCTTTCTCTGCGGGCACAGCAGCAACCAAGCGCCAGGACCAACTGATTCCGGGCACCAGAGCCCCTAGACCAGGCAGTGTGTGTGTGTGTGTGTGTGTGTGTGTGTGTGAGAAACCCCTTAACCTAGGAGGCTGAATCCCAGGGGCTCCTTTCTGCCCCCATATGCCAGGCCACCAGGATTCTGGTTTCCCTGTCACCCAATCTGGCCAACCCCCTCCATCTGGTCCCTGGAATCAGGTTTCTAAAGGCCCAGATCAGCTCGGAGACAGTCTGCAAGGCTGAAAGGAGGAGCAAGGACTGGCCTCCTCCCTACCCTGAGCCCCCTCATGGGGCTAGAGATGCACATTCCTCGGGCTGCTTAAACCCCCTTATCTGCCCCCCTGCCCATCAGCCTGAGTGCTGACAGAGGCCCAGACCCCTTGTTTGGATGCTGATAACCTCCTGGGATGGCCCTCCCCCACCTGTAGGAACTGGAAATGGGTTTGGTGTTGGGAGGTCCTCTTCTAGCTAGACAGTCAGGGCCGAGGCCTGGCCTAGGGATAACAGGATCCCACAGTTCGTCACCCTCCCCCAGGCCTGGGGCCACCCTCAGTGCTGCCACAGTGCCACCTGGTGGTCCCTAGGGGAATGTCAGCCCAGCAGGGAGAGAAGCCACACAGAGTTTTGCAAAAAAAAAACCTCTACACCACTTTATTTTCATCCTTTATCCAAAATGTAAAAAGTGTTTAAAATATGTAAGTCCTGAGCTTCAAATGCTGACCTCCAAGCTCAAAGGGAAACAGGGTCAGGACAGTTCAGAGTTCCACTCCTGAAGAAAAGGGGAGCCCCAGGCATATTATAGAACATCAGGACCCTAGCAAGAATGGGACTCCCTTTCTCCTAGCACCAGCCCAAGACCCAAACCCCCACGGCCCTCTTCAGGGAAGGAGACATTTAAAATTCTTGATACTTGTTCAGCAACGTGGTGTATGGCATGTATGCAGCAACTAGCTGACCTGAGGAGAGCAGAGAAGAGATCAGCATCCAGGCCCTCGTCTGCTCCTCCTGCCCTCCCAGGCCCTGCCGGGCACCTGCCCTCCCACTCACCAAGGGGGGTTAAGGCCTGCCCCTGTGTTTCTTGGCAGGCAGAATGGGGTACAATTCATCTTCCTCATCCTCCTCACTCTCCTCTTCTTCGCTTTCTTCTTCCTCAGAAACACTGCTTACAGTAACTGGCATACATACAAGTAGTAAAAGGAAGGGAGGTAGTTAAAGCCAGGTCTCCTTCATATTATGTTATTCACTCATGCACCGCGGTGCTAGGCAGGGCCCTGAACGCCCGGCGCTTATAGTCTAGATGGGAACAACCGCCCTAGCCGGTTTGGCTCAGTGAATAGAGTGTCCACCTGCGGACTGAAGGGTCCCGGGTTCAATTACAGTCAAAGGCACATGCCCGGGTTGTGGGCTCAATCTCCAGTGGGGGGCGTGCAGGAGGGAGCTGATCAATGTTCTCTCATCATTGATGTTTGGAGGTCTCTCTCCTTCTCTGAAGTTAATAAAAATATATATATTTAAGAAAATAAAAAATAGATGGGAAGAACCTCAGATACTAAACTGGGTGACAAAGAGCCAAAGGGTTACACATCGTTGGAGCTGGAGAAGCGGAGACAGGTTCCAGGAAGGCGGGAGGAGTGAGGAGGACAGAAAGCGAAGGACCCATCATGTAGAACCTGGACGGCAGCTACACTGGGAGATAGGCTGGGAGGGGGCAAGAGTGTGGAGTCAGGCCGAAACCGGTTTGGCTCAGTGGATAGAGCGTTGGCCTGTGGACTGAAAGGTCCCAGGTTCAATTCCGGTCAAGGGCATGTACCTTGGTTGCAGGCACATCCCCAATGGGGGGTGTGCAAGAGGCAGCTGATCGGTGTTTCTCTCTCATCAATGTTTCTAGCTCTCTATCTCTCTCCTTCTTCTCTGTAAGAAATCAATAATATATATATATATATATATATATATATATATATATATTTTTTTTTTTTTTTTTTTTTTTTTTTTTTTTTAAGTGTGGAGTCAGGAGGAGTAGAAATGGACAGGAGACCTGAAGGAGAGTCCACTGAAGGAAACGGAGAGGACTCTCACCAATCTGATGCCGCCCAGTGATCCGCACAGGACCAGAACCTGACTTCAGGCGGAAGGTTACAGGAGGCTGAAGCTGGAAGTCATCCAAACTGAGCTAGGAGAAAGACAAGGATGAATGTCTAGCCCAATCCTCTCCTCTCCCCTATCCCCCTCCCCCCTCCCCAGGTATGGCCAGGGAACTCACCATGGGTTGGCAGGACAACCTGAGGTTGGCCACGGGGACTGCAATCTCCTGGTGGTCATGATTACGGGCCACAACTTCTACCACATTACACTCATCTTTGGCCCCCTCGGTGAGGCAGAGCTGGGAAGGGTACACAAGACTTTGGGGTCTCCCTAAGCAAGCAACACAGTGGAGGCATCTATCCTAGAATTTGCTCAACCTCAGAGGTCCCCCTGAATTACCTGGTCACGGGAGGCCATTGGGGGGATGGGGCAGAGGAGGTGATTCCCACTAAAGAAAAGTTTGGGGGCAGGCTACGGGCAGAGGCCCACCCGTGGCCTGCTCAGGTCAAGCTATTCACCCCCACCCCCCTTCCCCACCCCTCACCATGGTCAAAGCCAGCACGTGCTCGGCATCATCCTCTTCCTCTACCTTGAAGGTGAAAGAGCGGGTGTGGCCGGAGAGCTCACAGCCTGGAAGAGATCAGGGTGTGAGTGTGCACGATTGTGGGGGAAGAGGGGACGTTTCCCCAAACTCTACCACGTGTGGCCGTGGACTGACCGGCCACCGTTCACACGCCCACTTCTCCGGAACACCTGGGCGCTCGGCCCGGAGCCCGCCCCACACACCTGGACGGGGGTCTGGCCCCACTTCCGCCAGCAGCCGCGTGCGAGCCCCCTCCGCCCCCACCCGTGCCGTGCACCCTCTGCATTCCTTCCTCACCCCGCCCAGGACGACCCTCACCCCTCCTTCCTCAATACCGAAGAGAAAACTGTCCATAGTCACCGGAGCGGGGGACCGCAGCCCGCCGACACCCCCGGCCCGGGCTCGGCTCTCCGGACCCCAGAACGCTAACGAGGCGGCCATGCTGCGAGGGCGCTCCGGAGCCCCGCCCCCGACACGTACGTACCGGGGAACCCAGCGGCGGCGCCCCGCCCACTGAGGGGACGCTGGCCAATGAGAGGAGCCGGAAGCGATGGGCCAGCTGCCCTGCCCAGCCTGCTCCGGAGGGGGGGCGGGGGCGGGGGCGGGGGCGGGGGCGGGTCGAGGCTGCAAGGGAGAAGCTGCATGAGGGAAGCGGGAATTTGGGATTAATGTTCCCCTTCACCCTTATTAACACCAAGGCTTCCTGCGGACAGCTCCTACCTTCGTGCTCTCCATCTCTCCCAAACCGGGGTAAACTTTCCTCAAAGGGAAACTAGGTATAAACATGGAAACCTTCCCAAATCCCCCAGCAAAGATGTTTCAAGGCATTTTTTCTGATAAAAATACGGGGAAATGCGCTATTTGCATTTGCTCCAAGTGAGTCAGGTAGCCTTGAGTGGCATTTTAACCCCAGGTATCTTGTACCAAATCACTCTCTCCTAGACTCGCTTCCAGCTCCAATGACTTCGCAGCTTACTATCCAGATGGCTTATCTTCATTGAGTTTCAGATGCTGGCGCCTGCTGGCAAGACTAACTCCTGCTCCTGGCAGACCCAATCTTTCGAGCTCCTCCCAAACCATTCCAGAACATCCTTCCACCTTACATTCCGGGCTCATATTTTGGGCTACTCTCCCAGCTTTCACTGTTTAATCAAGAACCACACTAAAAGCATGTTCCTTATCCTGTTGAATAGCAGGAACTCAAACAACTTGCTCCCAAGTTATTTACACCCAAGTTAAAACTGACAAAAGGGCGACTAGGTCAAGAACCAGTCTTTTATTTTTGGCCTTGCCTTGGGAAAACCAGAAAGGAGGTCTTTTATTGGAGATGGGAGAAGGAGAGGACTGCCCTCAAGAGCTATGAAGAGGGAGGAGGAATACTTGCTTGCAGGTGAGGCATGAAGGGCAGGAGAAAAGATAGGAGGCAGACACAGAAATTAGGTTTACACAGTACACCACCATACACATTCACTTCAAGTTTTATTTTGCCTCTTGCATGATCTTCACATAATTTACAGTTCGTTTTCTACAGGAACTGAGCTGTGATCTAAACAATCAAGGAAATGTCATTCCAACTTTAATAAATATTCACAACCATAGAAGGTAGCATAGCATTTTACAATCCTAGAGTGATGAATGTATAGGCATGGACATCTGGTTCTCAGCATCTGTGACCAGAAGACTAGCCAGTTATTAAAAGCCAAGAAAAAGCCACAAGCGAACACTAGAAGTCTTGATTCATAGGATGTTGGCCCTGAAATGCTCCAGATAAAATGCCACAATTATTCACTAGTGTAGAAAACATATTTAAAGCCCATGACACTAAGCCATTTAAACCAATCTTGTAGAGATACTCCTTTCACACCTCAGCCTTGAAAATGCAAACGTAGTCCAAACTTTCCAACCTACTATATCCTATCAGTTAGAGGTTTCTTTCTTTCCTCCCTTCATCTCCCCTATTCAGTGCCACTCATGGGCCTTGGTGGAAGTCACTAGTGGAACCCCTTCTAGGTACCACCGTTGAAGATGCTCTCAAAGCCCATCCTGATGGAATCCTATGAAGAAAAGTATGTCTCAAGTTTCCTTTTCTTTGCCCTTTCCCTCAGCTCAAAGTTAATCATCTGATACAAAACTACAGGGAAGCTGATAATCAAACACTGTTATAAATCTATGAAGAAGTCAGCCAGTCATGATGAAAAAATGAACCCTGCAGAAATTACCTGCTAGCCTCATGCTCAGAACCCTTAAATACACCAAATCTAAATTAAAATACATGAAGCTCTCAGAATCTGTAAAGGAAAAATTAACCATTAAGTCATTGATTAAAGTATACTCATTATTTGTCTCTTTTAAAAATTCAATACAAACATGCAAGAATTAGGCTGTGATTTAATAAAACCAGTAGTAACAGGTCTTGAAATGAAAGGACAACTGATCTGGGGGCAAATGGGACCTATCAGTCCCTGAACCCTACTTGACAGATGTCAAACTAACATTACACATGCTGACCTGTATTGAGGTTAATTTCTAGAAGTGACTGCACTTGCACAGATTGAGTCCTATGAAGTTAGGTTCTTATACCCAAAGTGGTTGTGGCTAGCTTAGGTGAGAGGCACTTTAAAAATAAAACTTCCAAAAAAAAAAAAAAGAAGCCTAAACCAACCAAAGGCAAAAAAGTCACTTTCCACTGACTTATATTATTCAAAGTGCCATCCTGAATCACACCTTTCATTTTCAAAATGAAACAAAACCGGTAAACACAAAGGTAGGCAGATCACAGCTAGTTTATATACAAAAAATTTACAAGCTTGTCATTTTTAGGCTTTTGCCACAAACAAATGCACATTTGTCCCTACAAAGCACAACAGGCCTGAACCAATCATCACTACCGGAGACAAGTGGCCATGGCTTTACAAAAAGCAGAATAACTGCCCAAAATTGAAATCATTTATTCAGCTTATACTACGCCACAACCATCCCACATGTAATTTCCACCCTGAAGGCTCTGAAATTCACTAAATCTTTCTCATCTCTGCCATGTCCACAAAGAATGAGACATTTCATTCAATAAGCCAAGGAGGATGACAAATGATTTTGATTACTCTAAGGTGAAAAATGCAACCACACTGGATGCAGAAAACAGTGCTGACTACATTTATTGAAGACCCCCTTCCTATATGCCCATGTAAGAGGACTTGACACCTAACACACGACCCAAAAAGGGGCCCACGTATCTATTTCCTATAGGATTTGCTGAATACTATCTTCTAACCAGTGAGTAGTCTCAAAATATGATGCATGAGTTTTACATAGTCTTCTTTGTTTCCAATCCCAATTGACTCATCTGTGGCCGCTCCAGAGGCTGAACTGTATAAAGACCCCAACCACCACCCACCAGGTGAAGTTGAGACTTTCAGACAGTTCATAGTGAAATGTCACAGGCTTCGACCAAGTATAACCACATCCTTTGGAAATCCTTCCATTTTTGCAATTTCAAAACAGCCTAACTTGCTGTAAAATTCCAGAATTCTTTTATCATCCGGTCTCACTTCACAGAAAGCCCCTCGGGAGCCTAGAAATAAAACAAATAATCAAAATACATTAATAAGTAGAATTACGGATATAAATTGACTACTCTAATATATTTCAAACAAATCATAGTGGGAACTTATCTATTATTAGTCTACAATTTTTTTAATTTGTATTAATACTAAATGAATATTAATAATGATTATTAAATACTATAGTGATAACTATCTTAAATGAATATGTTAACTAGCTTGGATGTGGTTATTTCAAAATGTATTTCCAATCAAGTTGTACAATAAATATATACAATTTTTTTAAAATAAGTTTTTATTGTTCATATTATTACAAATGCCCCCCCCCCCCACCATTGCTCTCCTCCACCAGGTTCCCACCCCACCCTCTGCCCTTTCCCCACTCCCCACTGTCCTCATCCATAGGTGCACAGTTTATGTTCAGTCTCTTCCCACATCCCCCTCTCCCCTTTTCCCCCAAGAATCGTCAGTTCACTCCCCTTCCATACCTCTGATTCTATTATATTCAACAGTTAATATTGTTCCTCAGATTTGTTTTTTAATTTCCTTGGTTTTTAGATTCACTTGTTGATAGTTACGTATTTGTTGTTCATAATTTTTATCTTTATTTACTTTCTCTTCTGAAAGAACCCCCTTCAGCAATTCATATAATTCTGGTTTGGTGTTGATGAACTCATTTAGCTCTTTTTTATTAGTGAAGCTCTTTATCTGACCTTCGATTCTGAGTGATAGCTTTGCTGGATAGATTATCTTTGGCTGTAGGTTCTTACTTTTCATCACCTTGAATATTTCTTGCCATTCCCGTCTGGCCTGTTGAGAAGTCGGCTGACAATCGTATAGGTGCTCCTTTATAGGTAACTACCTTCTTTGCTCTTGCTGCTTTTAATATTCTCTCTTTGTCTTTTGCTCTTGGAATTTTAATTATGTGTCTTGGTGTCCTCTTTGGATTCCTTTTGTTTGGAGTTCTGTGCGCTTCCTGGACTTGTAAGTCTAATTTTTTCACCAGGTGGGGGAAGTTTTCTGTCACTATTTCTTTCAGTATGTTTTCGATATTTTGCTCTCTCTCATCTTCTGGGACCCCCATAATTCTGATGTTGGTTCGCTTGAAGTTGTCCCAGAGGTTTCTTACATTATCTTCAATTTTCTGGATTCTCTTGCCTTCTAGCTTCTGTGGAGGAGTCTTCTGGCTCTTTATGTTCCAAATCTTTGACTTGATTCTTGCGATCTTCCATTCTGTTTTTAGGACTCCGTATAATATTTTTTATTTCAGACAATGTATTCTTTATTTCTTGTTGATTCCTTATCATTTCTTGTTGATCCCTTATCATTTCTTGTTGACTCCTTATTAATTCTAGTTGATCTCTTTTCATATCCTCATAGGTCTTATCCATTTTTTCCAGGAAATTCTTGAAAAACCTTATAAGCGTAGATTTGAACTCTATATCCAGTCGCTTTTTGTCCTCCATCTCTTTCATTTGTGATCTATTTCATTGTCGCATTTCGCAGTTACAGATGGGATGGGATTTCAGGGTGGAGCCTACAGCCTTGGCTTCTGTCAGCCCCTCCTTATGTGGCTCCTGAGTCTCAGGGTCCTTCAGTACTCACTGCAAAGCGCCTCTGAAAGATAGGTGCCCTCGATTTTCGCCTGCTGCCAAACAGTCTATGCTCTCCCCCAATGAGCCCAGTATTGGGGTTCAGTTCAGTTGGAAGTGGAGTTGGAGGTGGCGTTCAGAGCAGACTGGAGTCCCTGTCTCCTTCCGGCCAGGGCAATCCCACGGCACAGCCGACTGTCCCTTCTCTGCGTAAAATGTGCGCGCCGCCGGGACCTCCTTTCGCCACTTCCCCCGGGGTTCCGCCTTACAGCCCAGCTCCCTATGGATGAGCCTGGGTCCCCAGGGTCTGGCCTAGAACTGGGGTTCAGAGCAGTCAGAACTGGGGCCCAGCACAGTCGGAGCTTTTATCTCCTTCCCGCTAGGGAACGCCAGCCAGGCACTCGCCTCCCTCCTCTCCGGCTCCGTCCTCTCCGCATGCTGCGTGTCTCCGTACCTCAGGCTTTTCCAGCTCCTCCGCGCTTCCTTCTGGTTTTCTCCTTGCTTCTCGTTGTAGAATTTCCAGTCAGTCGACTTTCCTGTAGTTCTGGGTAATGTCCATTTTATATTTTAGTTGTATTTTATTGAAATTGTTGTGTGCGGCTGCGGCTAGGTGTTTACCTGGGCACAGCCATCTTGGATCCTCAATATATACAATTCTTAACTGCCAAATATACCTCAATTGAAAAAATTCAATTGTAAGTGCAACTCTTCTCCAGAAAGAAAACCTTTTGGGGAAGAGGTTGTAAGAGACCTTAAAGCAAAGGTTACCTCTGCTTGATGTTTTAATATTAAGTTCTAAGCACAACACTAAGAAGTATGCAGGGTTGTTTAAATTATCCCACAAAGGGACAACACTGACTCAAATGATACAAAAATGCAACAGGTGCATTCTCAATGTATCAACCACCCTCTAATGAGCTGCCCGCTTTTATATTGCCCAAAGATTACAGTTAAGTTTTTTTTACTATTTAAAAAACACTACAACATAAACCATATGTGGACCTTAAAGCCTAGCATACTTATTAACTGGCTCTTCACAGAAATACTTATGTAAAGCCACATATTTTTGAAGGTTGAGTTTAGCCAAGCTTGAAGAAAACGGGTGACTGTATTCCTAAATGAAATTTGTCCCCAAGGTTCATTTAATTTTCAACTATTATTTATGTGTCTCTGGCAAAATAAATATATCCTCATGTGTTCACTTCTCATTTACTTGAGGCTCAAAATAAGCATTCGTTGTGTAAAAGAGAAGCATTTTTCAATGACTAATACTCAAGCAATTCTTGCACAATAATTCAGAAACCAAATCATAAATGGTGGAGAAGGGAATGTACATTCACTATAATTCACTTCTTTTTAACCTAAAACATAGTCCTATCCCCACCTAACCCAACACCAGCAACTCCACAAATATGTACTCACCATTAGCCTTCAGTGAAGATAGGAGGCAAGCCATCATGCTTTTGGCTACACTTGGGTCAGTTACTTTTTTATGAATATCCACCTTTATCAGAGAAGGGAAGTTGGCAAGGAAAGTTTCTGGCAACACTTCCTGCTCTTCATGGAAACTCAACATTATTTTCTAAAAATTAGAATTTTCTAAAAATTAGAATCTGTTTTGATTTTCAGTAACCACTCATTCTATATTTATATCCCAACTATATAACTCAATAACAGGAAAATAAAATAATATTCAATAACTCCTCTAGTCATATAATTATCACGTGGAGAATTAACTAACTTAAGGTTCTAGCTAAAACATTTTCACTTTTTAAAACGCTGTCTAAATATAGTATATGCTATATTTAGGATCTTGGGACAGAAAGTGGACTTTAATGGGAAAACTGATGAATAGTGAAATTTATAGTAATGTACCTAAGTTGGTAGACTTGGACAAATATAGAAAATGAGTGAGCGATATAAAGGAATACCATAATCCTGCCAGCATGGCTGAATGGTTGAGCATGGACCTATGAACCAGAAGGCCACCATTCCATTCTGGGTCAGGGCACATGCCCAGATTGCAGGCTCAGTCTCCCGGTAGGGGTATGCACAAGGCAATCAATGATTCTCATCACTGATGTGTCTCTCTCCCCCTTCCACTTTGATATCAATAAAAATATATTTTAAAGTAAATAAAGAAACTCTGTATTATCTCTGTAACTCCTTTAAATTCAAAATTATTCAAAACAAATTTGTTGTTGTTGTTGTTGTTGTTAATCCTCACCAGAAGATATTTTTCCCATTGATTTTTAAGAGTGTGGAAGGGAGGGGTAGAGAGAGAACATCTATGTGAGAGAGAGACATTGATTGGTTGCTTGCTTCCCACACGTGCCCCAACATGGTGGACCAGGGATCAAGCTTGCAACCAAGGTACATGCCCTTGACCAGAATCGAATCTGCACCCCTTCTTCAACCCATGGACCAATGCTCTAACCACTGACCAAAACCAAATAAAATTTTAAGTTTGTCTGGTTTTCATAAAAAATATGAATGTGCTCAACACTGAACTGTATACTTAAAAATGGTTAGGATGTTAACTTTTATGTAATGTACATTTTATCACTAAAAAATATATATATATATTTACATATATATTTTTTTTAATTGATTTCAGAGAGGAAGGGAGAGGGAGAGACAAAAACATCAATGGTGAGAGATAACCATTGATCGACTGCCTCATGCACAACCTCACTGGGGATGGAGCCTGCAGCCTGAGCATGTGCCGACCAGGAAACGAAACTGTGACCCTTTAGTCTGCAGGCCAACACTGTACCCATTGAGCCAAAACCAGCAAGGCTGCATTTCACAACTTTTTAAAGAAAGTTTACTAATAGACACATTTTATATGATCATTCTTTTTATATTCCTATGCTGAAAACAATAATTGTCAGATATAGAGCAGCAACACATCAATAGTTCAGTCACCAGCATGCCGCAGTCAGTGTCAATGCAATCCCTTAGTGAAGCCACTTCCAACAGCATATTACAAAGCCACCTGGCTAGGGGCAGAAGATAAAAAATAATAATAAAACTAGAGAGAGAATGTGAGTACACTGGTGTAGGGAGAGTTTCAGAAAAGAGGAGCAAACTAAGAGTCCAATATATACCTGAAAGTATTTATTGAACATAAGAAATTATCCTAAAAAGGAACTATTTTTTAAAATGCATGTGTTGCCCAAGCCGGTTTGGCTCAGTGGATAAAGCATCAGTCTGCAGACCAAAGGGTCCTGGGTTCGATTCTGGTCGGGGGCACATAGCTTGGTTGCAGGCTCTTCCCCAGCCAGGGCCCTGGTCAGGGCAAGTGCAGGAGGTAACCAATTGATGTGTTTCTCTCACAATAATGTTTTTCTCTATCTTTCCTTCTCTTTTTCACTATCTCTAAAAGATCAATGGAAAAATATCGAGTGATATTTCAAACATTAAAAATGCATTTGCTGGCCCTGGCCAGATAGCTAAGTTGATTAGAGCATCGTTCTGATATGCCAAGGTTACAGGTTTGATCCCCAATCAGGGCACCTACAATAACCAAACAATTTCTATATATAAAATCCTAATATGCAAATAGACCAAACAGCAGAACAACTCAGTCACTATGACGTATGCTGACCATGAGGGGTCATGCGTTTAACATGGTAGGCATCAGCCACGACAGGATGCTGGAACAGGTGAGTGGGGCACCAGATCAAGGCGGGGCTCTATTCTCTGTTATTGGGGCGAGCCTCTATTGGTTACTGAAAATTCATTGCTCCCGTGCACCATAATGCTGCCCAGCACTCATACCTACTGCTGGGGCTGGTGCCAGCCCCACTGGTACCCACTGCCGGTGCCTGGTACCCACTGCCGGTGCCTGGCACCAGCCGCTATTGTTCAGTGATATCAGTGGGTATGAGCAATGGCTGCCAGCCCCAATCGCCTCTCAGGGCTTCTCCACCTCCCCCTGCTCATGAGGGGCAATCAGGGCAGCAGTCACCAGTTTTTAAAGTAAATCCCTTGGCGAAGCCACTCCCAACCAGCCTATAACTACTTGTACCCCCTGACAGCCCTGGCCCCAATCGCTCCTCACCATCAGCAGTACAAGTGGGGCTGGCGCCGTCAGCACGTGGCAGCCGTGGCAGCCATGCAGCGGGAGTGGGACTGCTGGCAGACGGGACATGGTTGTGGGGGCTGCAGTGGAAGGGGCTGGTCAGGGGCACAGAAGATGGGCCAAGAATCACCCCTGTGCCCACCTCAGCCTCAAGGCCCACAGTTTCTTTCAAGGTGCACTGGGCCCCTAGAGTGAATGCATAAATGGGACAAAAAGATGTCTCTCTCTCTCTGAAATCTTTTACAAAGTGATGTGTGAATAAAGCTAGTTGTGGATAGATATATAAGTAAAATAGTGGGTTGTTATTTTTTGAATATATATGCTATATATAAACCAAAATAATCATTAATTGACGAATGTGGGGTACAGTTTTTTTTTTAGAGGAAAAATCCACTAAGTTGAAACAGACATAACAAGTGCTCCTATCAGAAGGCAGACTCTCAGAAGCTCACCCCTATTGTTTCATTAAAACGAGAAAAGCTTTACTAAGAAAGCCAGCTTAGCTTCCTGATAACCAAGCAAATGTTGTCCTACACTTGTCCTGAGTACCCAGAGAACATCCTTAAGTTTGGGGGGGAAAAAAAACAGGAAGGTTGTTTATACTGTGTTTTTACCCAAGGAAGTATTAGAACTATGCTTCCAAAAACAGTCCTAACAGACAAAACCAGTTTAGCTCAATGGATAGAGCCTCGGCTTGAGGACTGAAGGAACCCAGGTTCGATTCCGGTCAAGGGCATGTACCTTGGTTGCGGGCATATCCCCAGTAGGGGGTGTGCAAGAGGCAACTGATCAATGACTCTCTCTCATCGATGTTTCTCTCTCTCTCTCTCCATTCCTCTCTGTACAAAATCAATAAAATATATTTTTTTAAAAACAGAACTAACAATGAAGGAACCGTAGAAAATAACATGCTAAGAATAAGCCCTAAGGCCCTAATCAGTTTGGCTCTGTGGATAGAGCGTCAGCCTGTGAATTGAAGGGTCCTGGGTTCGATTCCAGTCAAGGGCATGTATTCAGCCTGTGAATTGAAGGGTCCTGGGTTCGATTCCAGTCAAGGGCATGTATCTTGGTTGTGGGCACATTCCAGTCAAGGGCATGTATCTTGGTTGTGGGGTGTGCAGGAAGCAGCTGATCGATGATTCTCTCTCATCGATATTTCTAACTCTCTATCCCTCTCCCTTCCTCTCTGTAAAAAAAAATCAATAAAATATATATTTTTTTTTTTAAAAAGAATAAGCCCTAAGATTCTTTTCAATAAGAAATTCAGGAAGCACTGAGATTTTAAGATGGACCTACTTTTTTTTAAAAAAAAAAAGTATATGCTTACTTTTTAATAAGTACTTATTCAGTAAAAATTACTATAGTGGAATTCTAAACCTGTGCATTACCTCCGCCTCAGAGAGTTCTTTGTCACCATTTGGCTTGGTATACTTCTCTTGCATGAAGGGAATCCAGGAAATTTTACATTTTTTAATGAAGGGGGTCACGTCTACAGTGCCCAGGGCATAACCACATATGCCATCTTCATCTTCTAGGACAAAGCAATAATCCAGGCTGAGGGAAAGCAGCCCTCCCACTAACCTGCTCAGAAGAAAAAAGGCCAGAGTGAATTTATAAGTTACTAACACAAAATACAGACTTCAGTAATGTTAAGGCCCCAAGTATTTGAATGACAACCTATGGAAACTATACCTGGTATCTGAAAAAAACTGGAAATACACACATCTTAATATTCAAATTTAAGATTTCTAGAAAACTGTATTTCCAGTCATCACCTCCCCTCAACCTTTATCAGGCTTTGAAATGTCTACTTCCCAAATCCAACAAATCCAAATACTTCATCACATACTTGTCTCCAATAAGGTCAGGCTGACTTTGAAAAGGTAAACCCACTCCATCGTCATACATTTCTCTGCAAATCTTGTACACGGAAGCCTGAAAATACAATCAAGTTAACTAATACATCAAGAAAAATTGGCAACATAACTTAACAATGTGATTTATAAGTCAGACTGTACTTCTAGGACAGGAGGTAACAAAATGCCTGGCCTGTCTTAATTATCAACCTTTGCTGTTTTTAATAAAGGTTTATTCATTGAATCATAGTTGTAAAACCAGTAGAAAGTAGCATGGTTATAGTTAACACTACAAAGTGCTTTGCAGAGGGTGTATATAGGCAGTAAGTAGTGGATTCAAATCCAGCAAACTATCAATTATCTGTTTTCCAGGATATGTTATTGTCTTTAAACAGGCTTTCTTTTCTCTGTAGCTGACTGTCACTAGCCTGTAGGCAATTCCCAACTGAAAATTATAGAATACTAATACATTGGAGAAAATCAGCCAAGACAACATATCATTTAGACAACTTGGACTGGTCAGTAATTTCAACTTTGAATACATTTCATCTAGTTTATTTTAAGGGAGGAATTAAAAACCTTAGCACAAGATAATGAATTTTTAGGTTCTTCCTTAAATATACCCTCTCGTCCATGATCAATGTTTAGTTAACTCTATCTAAAGTTCATGTTTTAAAGCAGAACTAATTCTTTTAACCAGGAGTTCAAAAGAAAAATAGGAATAAGCACCATAACCATACACCAGGCTGGTAGACAGACAATTACCTCATCTTTAGGAAAATATGGTCTGATAGTATAAACTTTGGAGGTAGGAGTCAGAGGGGGTGGTTGAAAAAAGAGATCATTTGCCCCATCAATTGGCAGCAAACGCTGTGGGAGGAAAAAAAAAGATGGATTAGTGTTGGCAAGATATTCATTTTTTTACATGAGTGTACACTGCAGACTACCAACTTAATATTAACTGGCTACTGCAGGCAGACCTAAAGATGAGGGGTGTACTATGTTTTACTAAAATAAACACTTCTTTACTGGGGGAGGGAAGTGCTTCTGAATAGAAATTACCCTAACTGAATTACATAGTTTTAGTGGCTTATTAATAGGGATTTAAATTTACAGTAAAAAAAAAAAAAATCCATTCCAATTATGACAAATTTCTTTTTTTTTTTTTTTAATCTCATATAGACCATCTTTCTACTAAAAGATGGCAGAACAGAATGTCAGAAGGAGAGGTTTGGTCTGAAGAGGGTTATCTGTCCAGGAGACGCTTTATCCCCAAAGCAATGCGCTTCAGTTTGCTGTGCGCAGCAGAGCACCTGTTGGGGGGAGAAAAGTAGAGCACCTGAAAAGTCCATGAACAAATTCTAATAGCAAAAACGCTTCATATTTCGTTCATATTTTCACTAACACTGTTCTTTCAAGTGTCTTATTTATAAGATAATTGTGAAAGTATCCATAAGCTCTTTCACCATCATTTGGATAATTATTCATCCTTTTTGCTCATGGAGTTTCCACTGGCAGACAAGCATGCGCGCATTGTGCATTGCGGGCGCAGATTAAAATGCTGTGCGACCTGCAAAGAAACAATGTGAAGTGTACCTAGAGCCGCTGCGCTTCGCAGGCGCGGGGGGAATTGGCAGCATCTCCTTCAGAAATTACTGTGAAAGAGGAGGAAAATTTGATTTAAAATCCAGCTATGTAACTAAATTGAATTTGGGACTAGAAAGCCTTCGGCAGACCAATCCTTCCAGCCATCTGATGCGCAACATAAGGTTTCTCATAAAACAAAGAAAATGTCAATTCAGTTGTGAATTCATATTGATACCTGGAACTCTCCTGCTAGACCGCCTCTAAAGGCCCAGGGTTCTTGGTCTCCAATTAAGAACTGTGCTGAAGAATGACTACGACACCCTGTTGAGATCAGATCCAAGCGGAGAATGTTACGAGAAAGGGGATTTCCTGAGGTCTCAAACGTCCAACAAACAAACACTTTGTGGAAATAGCTCTCTAAAAATAATAATCCAGGGTTTCAGGACAAGGCTGTGATAATTTTTTTTAATTCATAATAAAATTTCAATACTAATGTTTCTTCCTCTGGTTAATAATCAATGTGAAGAGTTCTATCTTTAATTGTTGGAAGGGAAGCAAGTGTCAAATTTGTCTGGGTCAAGTTTATATATTGTCTAGAAATGACCATAAAAATCAAGTCTGCTGCTTGCTCTGTAGTAAAATTACAGTAACTATAAAGTGAAATGAATGAGACATTTTATTATCACAGCCTATGAAGGAATTAAACCTGTCTGAAGTCACATTTTGAGGAAGGGTACAGGAAAGGGGAAAAGGGGAGAAAAAGGGTTAATCTTGTCAGAAGACTAAGTTCAACAGAATAAAAGAAATTGTCCATAAGTTGGCCACGAGAACAATATATTTTTCCTAACAAGGACAATTCAGATTCAAACTGAGTAGTAATAATACCAGCCTGACAGAAACTGCAAACTAAAAAGAGCCAACTGATGCTCCCAATTTGTCCAGAGCTAAGACATACTTTTCTTAAAAGTATGACAATATCTGGCTCCTCTGATTGGCCATTATAATCTTGGCAGTGCACTGAATAAATGCTTAACTAGCAGGCTTTGGGGTCCAGAAAACAGCATTAAGGTTTATCATTTAATCACCTTCATATTCACATGCAATAAAGGCAGCTAACAATGGAGATAATTAAAGGCAAATATGGGGAGGCCAAATCAAAATCATCTGTCTAGTCTTCTGACAAGATAAGCAGCGCAACATAGGTCTTTTCCATTTGAAGACAGCATTCTACCTCCTGTTCAAGTTAACAGTCTCATCATCAGTACAAGGTATAATGTGCTAGTCAGACAGTCCCAAAGCAAACCAATTTTTTTTTTGTTGACAATTCAGGCCCATTAATAAATTATTATATCGAGGTTTGTCATTTTGAGGGGTAGGGGTATTTTAAAAAAGAACATATAATGTAATATTTGTAAAGTAAATACGAATAGGGTAAAAAATTTTAGGCTATGAAGAGAACTTGCCCCATTCCATAGCTCAGTGTAAATATACACTGCAGGAAAAAACTATACCTCTCAAACTTTAAGATAAGCCAATTTCCCCTGCCCCCCACTTTGAGACTACAATGTAACTAGCACTTCCAACTATCACAATAAAAAGCTGCATGTACGAAGAGCTGTGTAAATAAAAACATGGTTAATGCCTCAGTCGCTGCGCAAACGTGACTTCAGTGCATATCTACTGCCCTTAATTCTACCTGAGCTACCTCACAGATAGAACCTTTCAATTTAAACTAATTAATCAGGACGCGCTGTGAACATCTGCCGCTGTCCATCCATTAGTAGTAGACACTTGTGCTGAGGATTCTCCCATCTGTACACAATGGGGAAGAAGATAATAGAAGTCGTTAGTAATCAAAAGTACTGCACAGCCACATTCTTTAAAGGACTGAATGCCAGCTGGATTGGAGAGAGGAGAAAAACAAAGGGTTCTAATTGGTAATTCCCTGAAATTACTACAGAACCATGAAAATTCTCTTTGTTGTGAGCTTTTAGTAAGCTTTTCAAAGATAATCATTTAAAACTTCTAAGGTGCTCTGAGCTTGAGATTGTACAACAACTATCTATATAACCTGAGAAAGCTACACCATCATTGCACAAAACAGAGGGAAAGCCTGAGAGGAAACAACACAATATCTATATAATCAAGAATTTAATTTTTAGTAAGTCTTGAATTAAAAGCTGAATATCCAATGTTTTAAGAGATACTTTCTCAAGCTCAATAATCCAGATTTCAGAGTAGAAATTTAATATTTAAAACCCTACAAGGGTCAATTATAACCCTCAGGCCAGAAGCCTGGAAGGCAATTATTGCCATCCAACAATCAACATAGAGGTTTCGCCTGAGCCAAAGAGCAGAAATCTACCATAGAAAAGAGGTATCTCTTGGAGCCTTTTAACAAAAGGTAAAATTCTCTATTCTACCTGTTGTGCTATATGTATGTGCTATATGTCCTATATTTTCAAATTAACAATCAGAGACTAATCTTAGCTCCTAATTAATTGTGTAACGAAACTTATTTTTTAATATTTAAGAACCCCAAGTATATAGGTAAAAAGTGAGAAACCTCATTGCCACTACTCCTTAGTTAATCTAAGCTCACAGTATTTCACAAATCTTCTTCATAACCAAGACCATGTAACCCATCATTGTATTTGTGACTACTATGAAAACTATGACATATCAGTTAGCCCTGCTGCCTGCTGCGTGCTGCACTGTAAGTCCATTACATATTCCTTACTGCTGGAATGATAACCTGGAAATGAAATGAGGTCTCTGGAGAAACTTGGCCATGCTGGTGCTTTTTACCAAGTTTTAACATTAAAAAAAAAAAAAAAATGCTTTTCAAAAGAGACATAAGTCCATTTAATGGACAGATTTCTTAGGGGGCTGTAACTTCCATCCCCTGCTAAAACCAATTACTTGGTAGAGATAAAGAAAAGGCCATGTGAGGCAATACTAAGTAGCACCAGAATAGCCCACTACTAAAGCTCGCATGCGCACAGGGCTGGGAGGATGGCTTCCTCTTGCCAGGCCCCTTAAGTCATTTCGGCAATTGTTCTGTTAAAGGGCATTAAGGTTATCAAGACACAGCAAGCAGCAGAGAGCTTACAGAGCCACAATTCATAGTGTCTCATCTCCAAATCAGACAAAAGTGGGATAAAAGGGTCCCATCCAGGAAGCATTCAGTCGGAGTAAGTTAAAGTCAGTACTGTCTAACACAATATTTATGCTGAATTAGCCCAAGGGAGAAAAATCAATATAGTCAATGTATTTACTGAGACTTGTACCTCAAGTCTGCAACAATGGCTACACGTTTGAAAAAATTCTAGGCAAAGAATTTAAAGAGTTGGAAATTTGCAAATTCCCTAAATGTTTTTCTCCTGTGGGATAATGTCTTTTTTTCTTTAAGGGACAATATATCTGGGAAGAGATTATTCCTGGTGCACCTACCTAACCACTGTACAAAAGACTTCACCATAGACATTATACTCTTGATGTCCCAAACGTAGGAGTACATGTCATAAAGGATTGTCCTGTTGGCACAATTGGAAAGCCGAGTGAACATTCCCATCACTAGTCCACACATTTCTTCAAACTTGGCTGCTCGTGACCGCCATTCTTCAATCTATTGAGAATCAATAAAAAGACTCAAAAAATTTGCAAGCTTAATAAAAATAATCTAAAACAGTTCTAAATTAAGCTGTTTGCTATCAGGTGCCTGCTTAAATTCTTTAGACATCAATAAAAGTGTGTGTAACTCAAACTGACAAATATTCCTAAAATAATCAACTTTGACTTTCCTTCATTCCTAACTGTAAGGTCAAACTATAGACCTCTATGTACCAGATCTGGTACAGTGCACATCCACTTTATAGAATATATTTTAAGATCTGGTCAATTTTCTGCCAGTTACCAGTGTACGCATTTTAATACCTCCTCCATATCATCAACATGGGACCCATCCAGATTAGAGAAGCAAATAAATAAATATACTCACTTTTTCCGAGTCCTTTCCTTTACAATTGACACTGACAACACTGCTGTTTGCTCGAAGCCACTGGAACTCGCGTAACATCTGCGCTCCTTTGGGTCCATGCTCATAAGGTAAGTAGAACAAATCAGCAAGTAACTGCAAATCCTCCAGAGTCACTGGTTCTACAGTGTACAAAGGCTTTTCATTTGGAGCTGGCACAAACTGCTCCTTGTTTATCTGTTCATCAGTCTGCATAGGGGCAATATCACTGATGCAGTCTTCCTGCATAGACATCTCTGGGGATTTTGATTCAGCTATGCTCTCTTTATCAGTGTCCATTGGTTTCAATTCCTCTGCCATTTTAGCTTCTACAATTTCAGTTAATATTTGATTGTCATTCTTATGGTCTGTTTCTTCTTGTTTTTCCACTACCATGTCCATGGGTTCCTCATCTGACTGTTTCTTTTCTTCTTCCTTGGTCAGAACTGTCGGTTCACTACTCAAGGCTGCTCCCTGACTCATAATGGGCTCCTGGTAAACCGTTGTAACTACAGTTGTGGAATTTAAAGAAGGTGATGTAACTAGGGGAGTCCCATCAACTACACTTGATTTAGCTCCACTATGTGCAACTTGCCTACCTACAAAAACAAATTGTCACAAAAATAACCAGAATTAGAAACAGAACAAATTAGATCAAACATTTTCTTATCATATCTGTAACTGGAACTTCAGTTTGAGCTTCCAAATAATGTAAACCCTGAATAAAGTCTAAAATCACCAGGGAAATGGAGAAAGAAGAAACAGATGATAAACATTCCTAAATATGCCAATACCTATTATCCTCTTTTGAAGATCTGCACTTAAAAAGTTAAATAAGTATCTCAAAATAAATATTTTTAAAACAAATTAGCATTCTAACAAGATAACTATTTACAACCAAGATTTAAAAACTTTACTCTTCTCTAGAGCCCTAATCATTTTGCTTGTTGGTCCTATGGCAAGGCACATCCCAAATGTTCTTTACTTTTTGACTCAACCATGTGATCAACCCCATTACAAAAAATGGCCCAAAACTCACTGCTGTACTGATGAGGTACTCCAAAATCCTGCAACCATTCTGTTAAAGCTAACTTTAGAGCCATCTGTGGACTATAAAGTACATCAGTTTCAATATCTTCATCACTGCCTTCATTTTCTAACTTTATTTGGATTGATACAGTACTGTCTTCACTGTCAGCTGCAAAACAAAACAAAACAGTTCTGATTACAAAAGCCTCCTGACAAGGGGGACAAATTGTTAAGAGTATAACCAGAAAAGCAAAGAACCAAAACAACAAACCTTAACATAAAAGTGCAAGACCTTCACCAAACAACTTCACCTAAAAGTCATATAAATGTATCGCTAAATGTAAAATCCCAATTGAAATTAAAAAAAAACAAAAACAATAATTTTAGAATTACTGGAAAAGTCATTCATAAATGCCCGAATACCAATTATTGGGAATGCTAAGTTAAAGGCACTATTCTTTTCATAAAGAAAGCATTCCCTACCCTTCAGGGGCTTATAACTTAATGGGTAAATAATTATGAAAAAATAATGGGCAAACTAAGTGCATGGGGGAGCGGGGGGGAGTACAAGTGATTAGAGAGTCCACATATGAGCACAAATAATAAGCAAACAAGAAAGCTCTGAACCAGGAAAGTGGTGGAGAAAATTAAGTATGAACTCTGGGTTGGTATTCAAAACCCTCTATTCTTAGCTATCTTTTCCCTTACATGGTCCAGATTGGCTAATGTCTACTACTTCTCAACGTGCTTCATGCCCTGCCTTAGAAGAAATAGGAGCTAAGTGCCATGAATACAGAGGGAATGGAGATTATATCCTAATTTTGTAGGGTTGGGGGGTAGGGGTGAAGAAGGAGGGTAACAATGACCGAGCTATAAAGGGAGGCATTAATTCAATAAACAGAACTGGAAGCAGGGGTATAGAATTATATTCCAAATATATGAAGATGATATGACTGTGAGTGGTGGAAACAATGCAATATACAGATCACGTATCATTGAAATGTACACATGAAATTTTTATGATCTTTTTAACCATTGTCACCCCAATTAAAAAAACAGCACACACAACTATACAACTACTTACCACCAAGCATCACAATGTGACGTTTCAATACCCCCAAATGAGCCAAAATTCAAATAACTTTGAATGCTCAGTGTCCAATGTTTCCACCAATGTCCAGCAAACTACTCATACTTTGACATAGTTTAAGTATCCCCTTCTCTATTACACTGTTTTTTACCACCAAATTTGCTTATCAGAAATAATCGCTTCCTCCCCGTGTTCCTACAGCACTCTGTAGGTAATTATCTCAGCTCTTGCCATATTATAAGTACAGTTGCCAATATACTTTATACAATACCAGACTATGTTTTTCAACATTAGGGAATACTTTATTTTTGTACCCTTAGTGCTGGTAAGATACACTTACCACACAATAGGTATTTAAATGTTAATGACCCTCCAAGTAACAAAAATAAGATGATCCACTGCCTGTCAGGTGTTACTTGTGACACAGACATGTCCTCTATCTTTAAGGAAAAGGACAAGAATGAAGATCTGTCCAGATTTCAGAGTTTCTATCCTTGGTGGGGGACATAGCCATTGAGTAGCATCCTTTTGGGGGAAGCCAGTGATCTCAGCCCAACCAGAGGCCTCCTGAGACCACGAGAAACAATAAAGTGTCTCCTCTCCCCAGGAAAAAAAAAATGTTAATGAATAAATAATTATCAGCATTCTCTTACTTGGAAATCAATTAGGAATTTTTCATAAATAAAAAATCAGTAAGCCAACATTTAAAAAATGAGAATATGTTCATTAAGTTGAATCTAAAGTAATTCAGATAAGAATATCTAGTCATCTAAAATATCCCATTAATAAAGTTACCTAAAAACATAAACTAAATCAGCATTCTAGGGATAGCATAACACTAAAAGACTAGTTAGAGTAGCAAAGGTTAAGTGACATTTTAAAAACAAAAACCCGAGGCCAGATTATTAGGTAACTTGTCCAAAGCCATTCAACCCTTCTTCTATCATATATGTACACATCTTATTCATAGAACTAAGTAACATACATTTAAAAAAATATCAAACTGTGACAACAAATGAACACATATTTGCCAATGTCTCTAGTTAACCCAGCTCTTCTCCCAAGGTCAAGGGTTAAGTGGTATACTTACTCATCACTACATCTTTTCTCACTCCATTCATGTTTGATTTGTACCAGGTGGCAAGGGTATGGATAGCAACATAGTTGGCTTCAAATTCGCAATTTGGATTAGTCAGGACTCCTTTTAACCGTGGGATGAGTTCTGTGGATCTTCCTTTGTATGGGCCCAGAAATAGTCTCTTCTGATCATAATCATTAGCATGAATGTTATCCCAGATTACCGGAGCTCTCTTAATAATCTTAGAAACCTCTTCAATGGACTCTACTGGAATTTCTTTAGAAACAACTTTGGGACCTAGAAATAATGACGTTTTATTAAAAAACCCTCACCCATGGTTCTTCAAAATATACCGCATACAATATTTAACTGTTTTCTTTGTTATATGGATACTTTTTAACAACTTTTCTATTTTAAATTGATTTGAGAGAGAAATATCAATTTGTTGTTCGATTTATTTATTACTTTCATTGGTTGTGTCTTGTATGTGCCCTGACCAGAGATTGAACCTGCAACACTCTAACCAATTTATCTACCCAGACAGAGCTAATTATTTTTCTTTGTAAAATAATGCAGCAAAATGTCTTTTTACTCAGTTTTATTCACCATCCCACCCCAATATTTCTCCAGATTCCTAGAAACAGAATCAGTCAAAAAGTATGAAAATTTAAGGTTTGGGCAAGCTTCCTCAAACTGATATGCTAATAAGAAACAGTTTTTTATGTAAACAATTTCTTTTTCCAATGTAACATAGTATACCTTAATTAGAGCCCAATTAATCTAAACTCTGGGAGGGTTTCTGACCTTTTTTAAAAAATATATATTTTCTTTTTTTACAGAGAGGAAGGAGGAAGAATAGAGCATTAGAAACATCGATGAAAGAGAAACACCGATCAGCTGCCTCTTGCATACCTCTCACTGGAATGTGCCCGCAACCAAGGTACATGCCCTTGACCAGAATCGAACCTCGGACCTTTCAGTCCGAAGGCCGACGCTCTATCCACTGAGCCAAACCGGTTAGGGCTGATCTTAATTCTTAGAAAGCTCATATAGCTTGCTGATTACTAGCTATCAATCTAGTATGCCAGCTTTCATTTTATATAACAAAACAATCTCCTAGGGCTGAGATCAACACCCGTTAGCCCAGTTCCTATAGATCTATTATTTATCACAGCTGTTTCTTATACTAAGTGAAGAGTGAATACTTTGTAAAAAGAGAATTTTAATAACAAAGTTTTCTGATTAAGGCTGTTTTTTAAGAAGTATCCAATTAGGGGGAGAGGGGGGAGTAAAGGCTGGGGCTGGGGGCAGGCTGGGAGAGGACAACAGGGGGGTAGGGGAGACATATGTAATCCTTTCAACAATAAATAATTTTTTTTAAAGTATCCAATTAACCAGAACAACCAACTTCTCTAGGTTCTAGTTAATTCAAGTATCACGGTATAAATCTTAAAGACTTACCTGTCCAAAGCACCTCAATTCCAGGTAGAAGCTTTTCACCCACAGTCCTTAAATAAGGAGACTGAGACACATTTGGATAACAGAAAGTGCCACAATATTCTGAAATGTAGGGGGAACATAAAATAGTTAGGAATGAAATGGTCATGAGTTTTTAAATGGAAAAAATATGTCTATTAATACTAAATTCTTTTCATCCATATGATAAAGGCCTCCATGTCATGCCCCAAAGGAAATGCAAATGGGAAGTTCATTTAAGAATAAATTCATTTTTTTAAAGTCAATTCACAAAACCTAATATTCTCCCTCCAATATTTGACTACAGATCAATCCTTTGATCACAGAAGTTTACTGCAGAAATAATTTAAGACTTTAGCATTTTCTACATAATTCTGACTCATCTCCATTTTTTGAGTTACAATCAGAAGCCAAATCAACTGAATGGATAAGACCATTTACAAAGAATGCAACATTATGGTCATGGATATTAGTACTCAACTGAAACTAAATTACAATTTACAGTGAATTAAGTAATTCCAGTATAATCTTATTGAACATTATTTGAGTACTCATGTAGTATCAGACCACCAAGATAAGGTTATTGGCTCAGAATACTCAAGACAGACACACAAAGTTAAATAAATTGTCTAAAATTTCTTAGAACTTATTTTCTCTTCCTGAATAAGAAGTTAATTCTTGGGAAAATTTCTTCTAAGCTGAATTTTGAGAGGCAATTAAAAGAGACTATAACATTTTCAATGGAAGAAAACATTTTCAAGTAAAGGAAGGAAGGGAGGAAAAAGGGGAAAAAATTATTAAGCTTTCTATGCTGACTTCTGAAAGTAAGACTCGTTGGGAATGGGAGAATGATAAAGGACAGAGATACATGGGCAAAAAGAAGGAAGAGGCAGGAAGAAATAAAAAACGACTAAATTAAAATCTATGTAAATGTGTTTTTTTTTCTAATTTTCATTTTGATACTAGAAATCCTGAAAATGTAATGTCCATATACAGTAGCTCCCCTTTGTCTGCAGGGACTACATTCCAAGACCCCAGTGGATGCCTAAAACTTCAGGTGGTACTGAACCCTATTTATACTATGTTTTTTCCTACACATAGAAACCTATGATAAAGTTTAATTTATAAATTAGGCACAATAAGAGATTAACAACTAATAACAAAATAGAACAATTATACCAATATATTGCACTGTGAATGTGGTCTCTCTTATTGTGTTGTACTCGCCTTTTTCTTTTTCTTAAATATATTTTATTGATTTTTTACAGAGAGGAAGAGAGAGGGACAGAGTTAGAAACATCGATGAGAGAGAATCATCGATCAGCTCCCTCTTCCATAGCCCCCACTGGGGATGTGTCTGCAACCAAAGTACATGCCCTTGACCGGAATCGAACCCGGGACCTTTCAGTCCGCATGCCGCTCTTTCCACTGAGCCAAACAGGTTTCGGCTGTACTCGCCTTTTAACTTAATGGAAGCACCTTATAGCTTCTCTTTGGCATATCTGAACTGCCAGCATCAATACTCTTGTGCTTTGGAACCATTATTAAGTAAAATAAGGATTACCTGACCACAAGCACAACAATTCCTTAACAGTCAATCTGACAACCAAACAGCTAGATGACTAGTAGGCAGGTAACATGTAATATTTTTCAACCGTGGTTGACCATGAGTAACTGAAACTGCAGAAATCGAAAATATAGATAATGGGGGACTACTGTACTTCCAGTACTAAAAATACATAAAATCTTTTGCCTATTCAGTTATCATTTATTAGGTCCTAGTTTAAGACCTTGAGAAGTATCTTCTAGAAAAAGAATTTCTATCTTCATACACCCAAGAGACGGTACAGCACAATAAAGCCCAAACATGGTCCTCTGAAAGGTATGTATTTCAAGACTAAGTATAAAGCTATTATATACAATACCTGTGGGACAGAAGAGGAAAGTTTCCGGCTCTCCTAGGTACTGATAAATTTCATTTGTGATGGAGACCTGAGCATGAGCGAAAGAACTGAATACCTCTTTATCTGCTGCACACATATTATGGTCAATATCATCAAAAAGCAAGGCAAATGACCTGCACCCAAACTGAGAAACCTAGGGAAAGAAAAAAAACAAGAAGCCTTACTAACTCATCTTAGAGTAAAAAGTATGGAATTCCAAAATTAAAGCATATACTTAAGTTATATTTAAAAATCACTTATAAGCATCCTTTTAAGAAAGTACTTATGCAAAATAAAGTTTGAAGCACTGATACTTCCAGTAAACTTTAGAAAATACCCTTCTATCAAAAGCATTCAAGTAAAAAATCTATACAGAAACAAAAAAGTATAAATTTGGTTTCCTTTTAACACCATAAAAGCAACACAGAAAACTTAGTTTCAGGTTCTGATTCAGGGAAAAAGAATGAAAAAGTTAAGGAAGTTACCTGGTCAAGTTTGCGTTTCAATGTAGAAACTTCCTTGGGATTAGAAAAGGTAATATCCAATCCAGGTGAGATAGCATAGATGAACTCTATCTCATATTCCCGTGCAGCAGAGATGAGAGTCATAAGTTGTTCTAAAGAACAGAGTCCATGTTTTTAGAAAGCAGCATAGAAAACTAATAGAACCTCACCTTTTGATTGAAAAGGTCATTTCTCCAATTTACAATGAGTCAAAAAATTTAATTTCACAAAATTGTTATGTTCAATGTAACAATAAAAAGAAAATGTTTTTTTAAAAAACCAGGGTTAACTGATGGCCTTAACAATCCTGCCTCCTCATCTTTATAACTACAGGAAAAATATTCATTACAGATTTTAAGTTTTTAAAAAGTTCTAGTTTTCCTAAATAAACTGAAACACTATTGCACAACACAGAATATATCTTTAAATAAATTTCAGTGGTATCTCAAAATACATTTTGATTATGGATCACATTAAAGTTCATTACCAGCATCTCCAAAAAACAATTAAGTTGAAGACACTTATACAAAGTAGTAAACACTTGATGAAGATGGGATTAAATTTTAATTGCTTCTTCATAATTTAAGAAAACTTTGTCTTCAGTGCCTTGGCTGGGCTCTCTAACCAAACATCTTGTATGTACATCATTTAATTCCAAGTATGAAAATGTTTCCCCATTTGTCGCCCTAGCCAGTTTTGCTCAGTTGGTAGAGTGTTGGCCTGCAGATAGAAGGGTCCTGGGTTTGATTTCGGCCAAGGGCACCTTCCCAGGTTGTGGGCTCGATCCCCAGTGTGTGATATGTAGGAGGCAGCCAATCAATGATTCGATGTTTCTATCTCTCTCTCCCTCTCCCTTCTTCTCTGAAATCAATAAAAATGTATTTTAAAAAAAGAGCAAAGCCATTCTCTTATTTTTTTTTTAAAGCACCATTTGTCTAATTTACAAGGAGGTTCTGTGATATACTTTACAAATTTTATTTAACTCAATATAAAAACACATATAAGGACAGTTAGAGATTGCTTTTCACTTCAGTACAGGCCTGAACTCTGGTGAGGTCTTTATTTTAAATAAAGGCAGGACCAATAATAATAATCAAATAGTCAAGACCAAAACATACTTAAGCCTAAAGCAGAATGATCAAGAATACTGGTCCTATAAACTGTGCACCTATGGATGAGGACAATGGGGGGTAGGGAGGGGGCGGAAGGTGGGGTGGGAACCTGGTGGAGGGGGGAAGAAATGAGGAACCTTTGTAATAATATGAACAATAAAGATTGATTTAAAAATAAAATTAAAATTAAAAAATTTTTTAAAAAGTGGAAAAAAAATACTGGTCCTATCTCTATTTAAATTTTTGGTATTTTGTTAATGGATTTTTTTTTTTTGCATTAACTTTGTTTAGAATTGCATAAAATATTACTTATCCCAATTTTTTTTTTGAGTCCTATAAAATTTGTGTCCAAGATGGGTGCCTCATTTGCCTGGCTCCAGGCCTACCCCTACTTCAGCACCCTTTCATCAGTAGCTCACTACTTAGACTACTGGCGGAAGTTAAAATGTACAATTTATGACCACAGAACAGATGGGAGTCAGACCAGCATCCCCATGAATCACACCATGGCTACGCACAGTTAGCACTAGTCTTTCAATCTGCACTAACTCGTGTAGTTACCAAATAGAACTACCTACAAAGTGGAAAAAATACTTAATAAAATTTTTATACCACTATATTAAAAATATAGCTGTTTTCTTCACACATTCTGAATTTATGGATTAAAAAGAAAAAGATTACCAGCTTCCTCCACTGAATACATCTCTCGCCAAAACATCCTATGTTTGTAGTCATCTTTTGGGGCATACAAGTATGTATTTAATTCCCATTTCTGGAGCCTTGAGGGGAAAGAAAATTGCATTATGTATAAACAGGCACATGCACAGGCTGTAAATCTCATCTTCCCCCCTTTTGTTGAAGCATCTCTTAAAAAGCTAGTAATATTCTGGAACTGTAGCTTTTAACCTTTTTGTGGAATTGTAAAAAATATTACAACAAATGTCAGCATACTAAACAGTCTTAACTAAAAACACAACTCCAAATGAGGCAGGTGAAGCCCAAAATATATTCAGTTTCCCCAGGGAAGTTTGAAAACCAATGGCTTAGGTTTAGAAGAGGTAAAAGATCAACTTCTACAACTGAGAAATCATCAAATTGCATCTGGTTTCTTGTTAGTATTTCTTCAAACAAAAGGAAATGTTAATGATTTAAGATTCTCCATCATAAAACAAAAATTTACCTTCTAAAGAGTTCTTTTCTCTGTTCCATAACCCAAGGTCTTCCATAAAATCCTGGATTTAAAGTAAGAATAAAATTATTTTCAAGTTTCAAAATCTGTTAAACTGTATGCGAAAAAGTAAGTTATAAAACATACAATACAATCCCATTTTGTGAAAAAATGATGTGTAAAATTATACCAAAACCTGAAGGGTATTTAGTAAGTAAAACAGTAAGGTGTTTTTGGGTGGTGATATTATAGAGGAATTTTTTTTATTAATGTTTTAAATATATCTTTATTTTATTTATTTATTTTTATTGATTTTTTACAGAGAGGAAGAGAGAGGGATAGAGAGTTAGAAACATCGATGAGAAAGAATCATCTATTAGCTGCCTCTTGCACACCCCCTACTGGGGATGTGCCCGCAACCAAGGTACATGCCCTTGACTAGAATTGAACCCAGGACCCTTCAGTCCGCAGGCCGACGCTCTATCCACTGAGCCAAACCGGTTTCGGATATAAGGGAATTTTTATTCCCTTTTTGTTTGGGTCAATTTTCTGATTTTTCTACCATGAACACATCTATAATAATAAAAGTGTAATATGCTAATTAGACCTGACATCCTTCTGGATAACCCTCCTGAGGAAGCTGGGGCTGCAGAGGAAAGCCAGAGCTGTGGAGGGAAGCTGGTGGTGGTGGCATTAACGGGAAGGAACGAATTTCATGCATTGAGCCTTATAAAGTAATTTATAAAGTTACTTATAAAGTAATTGAGCCCTAGCTGATTTGGCTCAGTGAATAGAGCATCAGCCTGTGGACTGAAGGGTTCCGAGTTCAACTCTAGTCAAGGGCACATGCCTGGGTTGCAGAAGGCAGCTGATCTATGATTCTCTCTCATCATTGATGTTTCTCTCCCCCCCCCACTTCCTTTATGAAACCAATAAAAATATTAAAAAACAAATGAACAACAAAATAGCCCTGGTCGGTGTAGATCAGTTGGTTGGGCGTCATCCTGGACACCAAAAGGTTGCCAGCTGGATTCCACATCAGGGCACATGACCAGGTTGTGAGCTTGATCCCCAGTAGAGGGTGTGTAGGAGGCAACTGATATTCATGTTTCCCTCTCACGTTTTCGCATTGGTATTTCTCCCTCTCCCCACCTCTCTCTCAAAATCAATTTAAAACTCTTCAAAAACAAACAAACATAAAAACAAATAAACACTGTCTCTTATTTCGGGGGGGAGGGGAGAAATATATATATATTTAAATCCAAATTTTAAAAAATTTATCTCAATCTTACAATGGGGGAAAGAGAAGCAAAGTAACCCAAAACTGCTATTAGTAACAATTACTACCTAGGAGGGGAGTTAAACTGCTTTTAAAGGAGGGAGGGGAGATAATAAGTAAGGTTGGGGGTGGGGAATCAAGAACAGAATTAGAAAATAATCTGACTGACCTAATTTTATCATCAAAATTTTCAAAGTTCCTGATATAAAAGGAACCCAAAAAAACACCTTAAACTACATTCACAACAAATTCAACAATGGAACTGGTCCAAACAGGAAGCTCTCAAGCAATCTCAATTCCAGAGCAAAGGTTTGAACAACTGATAATTCAAGAATATTACTTGCTCCAGAGTGTCCCAGGTTTGGAGCAAAGCACTATAATGCACATTGCAGGAATCAAATTTGCAGACTGATGACTTTAGTAGTATAAGCACTAAACTGATATTGGAGCTCATTGTTGTGCTAATCACACTTTACAAACTCGCCTAACCTTTATTTTCCCTCTCGCAGTCAAATATATCTGCAAGAGATTATTAGGACAACTCTCAGAAGAACCATGAAGAAGATTAAAATTGCATTTTGAATACAAAATGGTGTCTACACACACATACACACACACACACACACACACACACACACACACACACACAGTACACACAATCTACCTATGAGATGAACTTAAAACCAAAATTTCTGAAATGGACTAAACTTCAATATCCAGACAAGATGGTTACTCTGCACCACAAACAAGGACAATGACAGACCTCCCCCTAGAAACAGTTATTATATACCAATGTATGAAACTAGCAATTTTCAATCTTGACAATTCAGGGTTACCCTCTTACAAGTGATCACCCTCTTAAGGTGATCTTGCTTACAACAGTAGGTAAATTTTATACAAGTCTTTATAGCTTTCCTAGAACACTTAACTTTTTTCTCTTAAAGGAGTATGCATTAAACATCACTTTAAAGCTGCCTCAATATAGAAAAGAATCACTTTCAGAAATCCTAGCTTTGCTCTTCGAAAGTCAGGTTGGTTTTGGTTAATTGGCACCAGAAAGAGGAAGCAGTGCTATTACAAAGAAGTTAAAACCAACAAAGAAAACAAAAAAGGAATCCTGACAATACCTACAGTATTTCTTTCTATCCCCGTTCATTTTAGGAAGAGTGTCACCTTACAAGTATAAAACAAACAAACAAACAAACAATCAGGTGCTTAGTAGCCACCAAGAAAATATACGAGGGAATGGGACAGAGGTGGGACAACACATAAGAAACAAGAAAACTCTATTCTCTAAGAAGAGTAGTGCACTTTCAATACCATTCTGAAAAACAAACCAATTTATTCAAACTACAACAAGCTTTTATCTAATTACTGAAAGTAAGTTTCTTAGACTCACTCTAGTCTAAGATTTCTGTATCCTCCAATATTAACTCCAAATACAAAAGTAGTTTTCCATTCTGTCTTCCTCCAAATTCTGCATGTTAACTTTGAGCTGTTTCACTCCTTACTGAAAATTAGTCTGTTCTCCCCTACAATTTACCTAAAATGCAGTAACTATCACCCATCTTTCAAATGTGTACACTATGCCAGCAAATTGAAACTGGTGTGAGACAAGAATTTTTAAAACATGACAACAGCCAACACACTAGCTATCCGGTGTGAGTTAATCAACTCTATATCTATCTTTTTGTCAGACTGGCAAAAAAAAAAAATCAATTTTTTACTGTGCTGCAGATTTTCAGTAATTAGTTTATATGTGCCATGAAATGAAAACTGCTGCTGTATACCGATAACACTGATACTAAGAGGGCAACAATCCTTCCTTTTCCATGCTTTTTTGTTTTCTTATAGACAAATTTTTATGCGCTTTTACTCCTATACATACCATTGACGTAGAGGAGAGAATAAAGCAGACAGCTAGGAAACCCTGGGTCGGCCAAAATACTTCAGTAAATTCAAATCCATTTGTATATGCTGTACTCGAGGAAACGGTAACAATGTAACTGATGAACGCTTCCAACGCCACATATACAGCGGAATATTTGCCCACTGTGTTAGTAAATCGTGTCATTTCCCCCAACTACCAAAAAAGTCCACCGTTCCAAAGCGGGAAGGGAGGTCTCGAGGGCATTCTTAAAACCACGCCTGCAGTCACTCCATTAAAATCCCGTTATCTCAAATATTAAAACGAAAGCTCCTTCCCTCGGAGGGGGGGGCAAAGCACCGTGGTTGGCAAGGGGCAACTTCCTGGGCTGCAAGTGAATCTTCAAATGGGGAGAGGAGAGGGATGATGAATGGCCAGCAAAAAAAAAAAAAAAAAAAAAGAACTCTAAGCTAAAAGGAAATAGTAAGGCTGTCGGCCTACTGTGCTTCTCTTCCCTGCAGGAGTACAACCTGCATACGTGTGGGGTTATTTTTTCCCAAGAGGAACATCCCCGGGAACAGACACGTAAGAAGTACAACTGGGAGCCTCGCACTCGCTCCCGCCGCCGCCTCCGCAGGAGAGCGCTGGCCCGCAGCCCGCGGCGGGTGGGGTCGGGCTTAATTGCCAGAGGGGAATTCGACGCCATTTAAGAACCGGAGGGGAGACCTGCCCACCTCCTCGCCTCTCGCCTGGGTGAGCGGGGTCCAATTTCAACACCAGGGCTCTGAGCCCCGGACCGCCCCCCCCCCTCCCCAGGACAGAACCTGTTAGTCGGGGGCGCGGGGAGGGGGGACGGAGGGGGCCGCGGGGTCCGCTCCCGCCCGGCCCGCGCCAGAACACTCACCTTCCACCACGCCGCACAGGAACTTCCGAGCCCCTCCGGCCGCCCCGGGCGCCGCAGCGCCCCCGGCCCCGGCCGGGGTGTCTTCCCCGGGGGCCGGCGTGGCCGGGGGCTCCAGCGCTGCCCCCGCCGAGCTGGCAGGGTTGGCGTTGAGCTCGTTCTCCCGCTCCTCCAGCGCCGCCTGGCTCTCCTTCTGCACCATCCTCCTGGCCCCGGCCGCCGCCGCCGCCACCGCTACGGGCCCTCCTCGGCCGCGGCTCCTCCTCGGCCTCCGCCTGCCGGACCCCCGGGCCAGAGCCGCGGACAGGGCCTCCTCCGCTCCAAGTGCTCGGCTCCCGGGCTCCTGCCCTTCCCCCTCCGCCCTTCCCCCGCCCGCTCCGCAGGGACCCGAGTGCCCGGATGAGAAGGGCGGCGGCGCCGGAGCGAGCCCTTTGTCAGCTGCAGCCGCAGCCGGAGCCGGCGGAGCGGGAGGCCTAAGCCGAGAGCGGCGCTGCGCCTGTCGCCCCCGGGAGGCAGGTGGCCAAAGCGTCTTTTCTCCGTCCTCCGCTGGCCTCCGCTGGCCGCCCTAGAAGCTTCGTTCTTCCGCTGGTTCCCCCCCGAAACCCCGAGAGGTCTCCCCTGCCGCTGCCGCTACCACCAGCTTCCTGTTTATCCGCACTGCGCCTGCGCCGGAGACCGGCTCAGACCGGTCCCCTCAGCCCGGCTCCCCCGCCTCCGGCAGGGCCGGCCTATCGCGAGCCTTTCGGCAGGGAGAAGGGGAAGCGAGGAGGCGCGGAAAGCGGAAGGTAGTGAAAGCGGCAGGATGTACCACTCGGGTCCGCCACCCTCCGGAACGATCCGGGCGCCGCGGGGCGGACAGTGGCCCCACCCAAAGGAAGGGAATGTGGGAGGGGGCTGCAGTCCATTGGGGCACTTGGGAAAAGGAGGGGAAGAGGAGAGGCGTTTACTCTCCCAGTGCGCAGGCGCGGGAACGAAGCCTCTGGTTCTTAAAGACGCAGGAAGGAATTGACCTATTTCTGTCGGGGTTCTTCGCTTAGGGTTGGTTCATGACGACGGCCCCGGCACAGGCTCGATTCTATGAAGACCAAGTGTCAAAGTGCTCAGCTGACCCCTGTGGCTTGAATCATTATTTTCCTCTACCCTCGGCTTGGCGCTAACTCCTTAAAAAAAAAAATAAATAAATCATTCGCTCCTTCCTTCCGCAGACACCTATTGAGCTTGCCTCGTGCTGGGCTGTAGGGTCACTATGAGCTCACAGCATGGCGGTGGAGGCAACCAGGTACACACACAACCCCCATAAGGTGTAGCCAAGTGCTAACGGGGTGCAGAGAAGGGACTGACTGCATCCCCTCTGGGGAAGAGGCAGTGGCCATGACGGTGTTGTGTTTTGAGTTGGATGTTAAAGAATGAGGCGTTAGCCAGAGGGAGTCCTGAAGAAAACACTCGAGGCAAAAGGAACAGAGTACAAATGTAGGGAGGGGTGAAAAGGCCAGGTTTGTTTAGGAATGGGGAGCGAGCGTGAATTGTGAATGAGAAGTGAGACCCCTTGGGCCTCAGCATAAACATCAGTTCCTTGGGGAAGCCTCCCCTTAGCCTCAGACGGGCTTGGATCCCCTTGCTGTATGTTCTCAGAGCCTCCTGTAGTTCTGTCAGAATGCACCTACATTTATGTAGAGATATCTGTCTCAAGGTGTGAAGTATAAATGTGAAATAAGCTTCTCAGTCTCATTGTGATTACAAAGGCTTGGTATTGTCCCTCTTACACTTCAGTTTCATACTTGACTCTTCCGGTGGTAGCTCGGCTCGTAGCTCTAAAAACCCTTATAGCCCATGTTTGTTTTTATTCTGGGAGTGTTGAGATTGGGGTTAAGCAGGTAAGCATTTTCTTAGCGGATTTCCTGTGATAACGATTGGGAGTCATAAGCAGCTTCAGTGGATCCTGTGATCACTTGCGGAATTGAAGACTGTTATTCCAGCTGGCCTCAGCCTTTAGTCTCATGACACTTTACTCTTTGCCTCTCACCTCATACCATGATATCTGCCAGCAAGCCAGTAGCCACAATTTCCTCTCCACAGGCCAGATTCGAGTCTGTGGTCCAAGCAAGATCTACTTTCCACATCTATATCTCTCAAATTTGAAGGGCAGTTCTTGCTATACACTTGCTCTCCGTACCTCACCTACAATAGGAATCAAAATTTAATAGGTCTGTGATAAATATTTGTGGATAAATGAAATAGGGCCCTGCTCTCACAGAGTACATTCTAGTTGAGGAAACAGGCCATAATAAATTCAATACATACGCAGGAACTCAGTTTGTGATAAGTAATTATGAAGGGAAGAAATGGAGGTGATAAAAAGTAACCACAGCAAAAAGGAGCTACTTTGGGTGGAAGAATAAGTAGTGATCCAGGTGAGTAATGACAGTGGCTTTGACTAGGGAGCAGCAGTGGAGATAGAGAGGTGGTACAGCTTTTGTGGTGGAATTGGTGATTGATTAAAAGGGGGTAAGAGGGAGAGTGAGGGAGAGGAAGAAATGAAGAATTCTCAGTTTTCACCTGAGCAACTAGGTGGATGGTATCATTTACTGAAACAGGGGATACTTGGAAGGCATGAATCAAAGTTCCATTTTGAACATGTTAAGTTTGAACATTTCGGATCCACACGAATATGTCAAATAGGTAATCCTGAAGCTATAAACTCAGGAGTCCTCTACATATAAATGAAGCCCCGGGGTTTACAGTGATTTAGAGAAGAGGCTCGAGTCTGAGCTGTGGGGCCCAATGTTGTTTAGAATTCCAGTTGAAAAGGACGAATCTGCAGGAAAGGGATCACAAGGGTCATCCAGACATGTAAGAGAAAAACCAGGAAGTATAAAATACTGGAAGGCAGGAAAGGAGGGTGTTTTGAGACAGAGCAGCTGACAACATTCAGAGTCTGACCAATGGATAGGGAAAATATCGGAATGCCAACCTGGTTTTTTTTCTGGTTCCCATTTGTGTGCTCTGGTTCTGGGGCACTTCCTACTTCACTAGAAATTCTCAGTTCAGACTTCAGCTTCCCTTGAATGTGGATCTACCCTAAAATATAGAAAATGTCTCCATACCTAATCCAGTTATATACACACACTCACCATGCTCATTTATCCAATCATACAATTATTGAGTGCCTACTATTTGCCAGGCCTTGAGGATAAGACAGTGAGGTGGGGAGAACTTAGTCCAGGCACTCAAGGAGCGCTCAAGAGCTTACAGTGTATCAAAAGCACTGCGTAGTTATAAGCTGAGATGTGCCATGAAGGAAGAGCACAGGCACCATGAGAGCCTGTCAGTGTCACCTTGTTTACATTATGCATGACATGCACAGCATCCATCTTTCACTCACAGATCTCCACTGTGCCACAAGGCCACCCTGAACAGACTTGGGGACTGAGTCCTCCTATAAACGTGCCTGTTTCCTCTTCTCTACAATGGAAAGCCAAAAGGTAACTGAATCACAGGTTCTTTTCTTTTTTAAAAAAAATATATTTTATTGATTTTTTACAGAGAGGAAGGGAGAGGGATAGAAAGTTAGAAACATCGATGAGAGAGAAACATCGATCAGCTGCCTCTTGCACACCTCCTACTGGGGATGTGCCTGCAACCAAGGTACATGCCCTTGACCAGGACCCTTCAGTCCTCAGGCTGACGCTCTATCCACTGAGCCAAACTGGTTTTGGCTAAATCACAGGTTCTTTTTTTTTTTTTTTTTTTTTAATAAATTTTATTGATTTTTCACAGAGAGGAAGAGTGAGGGATAGAGAGTTAGAAACATCAATGACAGAGAATCATCTATCAGCTGCCTCCTGCACACCCCCCACCAGGGATGCGCCCGCAACCAAGGTACATGCCCTTGACCAGAATCAAACCCGGGACCTTTCAGTCCGCAGGCCGACGCTCTATCCACTGAGCCAAACCGGTCCTGGCAATCACAGGTTCTTAACCTAAGGCCTATGGATGGGCTTTGGGGATACACAAATAAATAGAAAAGTGCATTTTTTTTTTTTCCTTCTGGACAGTAAACCCATAGCTTTCATCAGATCCTTCAGAGGTGTTGTGACCCAAAGAAACCCAAGGACCTAAGGATCAGACAACTGTGTGATGTGAGCCAGGACAGATGACAAAATGATTCCTTTGGAATTATTTGTTTCTTGGATACCATACCCTTCCCTTGACCTTGTCAGCGTGTAGAGTTATGGAATAGAAGGCCTGATCCCTCTTCTATGGATGGCTAAGCTTAGTAACTATATGAAAGCACCGAATCCTAGCCACTAGACCACCAGGGACTCAGCTTAGTAACTATATGAAGGAACCTTGGAGAAAGAATGGGAGGTATCTACCATTGGTGGCTACTCTCCTGAAACAAAACAAAAAAAGGTTCCCACCCCACAAAGGAAGTCTCTATTACCCTAGTGTCACCTGCTCCATGGTCACCTGCCCTGGGTCCACTCCATCTGATCCATTCTTGGCTGCAGTATAGACATAAATGTATGTCCATACTGGAGGCAAGATTGGGATGTTTATACACAATAAAATTTCCATTAGAAACTAAAGAGAATCCTCCCCCTCCAAAGAAAGCACTTGAGATTAACTGATGTCTATCAATTAGAAATTCTTGATTCAGCTTGTCACAATGTTTAGACAAAAGACAGGTGGTTTGGCACTGTCTTTTGGACATTAATATCCTGTCTCTTCCTTGTCGCCTGAAAGGAAAGAGATTCCCATGGGTGCTTCTCTGTGGTCAGGTAGGTTTCCAGCCCTTCCAGAACCTGTGCCTTGGTCTCCTGCCAATGGTTGGCCATACTGTGGGAAAGAGAGGCACTTTCTTTGGGATCTAAAAGGTTTCAGGTACATGTGGGGTAGGAGAGACAAAAAGGCGGAGACAGCAGCCTGTGCATAGCCATCGTGTTTTATTGGATCTGGTGTATTTCTTATTTTACAAAATATACAGAGGAGCCAAAAATGCAAAGCAGCCAACAGTGTTCTGGTGGGAAAGGGAGCTTCCTAGGGGCCCTTCCCCTCAGATCCTAGCTAGTGGGACAAGCAGGTATAGTAAGGAGTGGCAGCATGGCAGGTGTGCTGTTGATGATATGGGACCTGGATCCTACAATCCCTGCCTTCTAGGTGTGTTCAGGGGCATCTCTGGGTAGATTTAATAGAGCAAGAGGAGACACTAGATGGGAATTGGGGAGGCTCTCTGGGGGTTGAAATAAAGCCTGAGTAGAACAAATATGCTAATGAAGCCCCCTCACTGGGTTTAGATGCTATGCCTGTTTCCCTCCTTCCCTTTTCTTCTAATGCATCCACTGGGTGGTCTTGACTCACTCTATGCTGGTAGGCTGACCCTTTGGCAGGAATCAGCCAGGACATCTCCCAGCCATATTCTTCTGCTGCCAACATACAAACAGGAAGGAAGGAGAGAAAAAAATTCTAGGGATGAGCCAGACTTCACAACCCCAGGATCTCTTGGTATACTGAACATTGTGTGGAACATTTTTGGGGTGTTTTTAAGGAGCCAGGGTCTTCTGAAGAGCCTGGAAACTCATATTCTGGTGGCAGACCTGTGGAGCTCAGAGTCATAGCCTAGGGTCTCACAATCTCTAGGCCTTTCTGCTTTATATCCCAGCTACTTCCTAGGACCGAGCCACTGCCTGAAGCCCGAGAGTTCTCCCTTGTCCCTCTCCTGTGGAGCTCTCTAAGGCCCTGGTCCGAAAGGCCAATCAGTGCCAAAGACAGAGCAACCTGTCTGAGAAGGGAGTCTTAAGGAAAATGTTTATGTTAACATGGACGGGGGAAGCACCGTAACAGGAGAAATTCTGTCTAGTGTTGTGGCTTCTAGAGTGGGGGTTGGAAGTGGAGAACCACTTAATTCCTTCAGCAGGGGCATCCTTAGCACTGTCAGGGAGGGGGTGGAGCCATTGGGAATTGGGAATGCCAGCTGATACACTCCGCCCACTCCCTGGCTCCTTCAGCTCCAATGATCTGAACCGCCGAATCCCCAGCCTCTTGGATTCCTACAGGCCTTAGGGCAGGGATAAGGTGAGGAGAGAGCTAGGAAGAGAAAGATGAGGTCCAACTGGACTAGGGCTAGAGCATGGTCCTGCCACAGGACAACTGACCCCCTCTCCTGGTGAGCTAGATGACATTGTCAAAGAGCTGCATGGACCTCATGATATTCTCATCCTGTAGCCATGGTGTGAGAGAGGCAGATTGGAGAAAGAAAGAAAAAGAGCTTGTCAGAGGCAGGGAGAGAGACACTGAGTCATAAATAAGGACATTCAGAAACACAGAGAGGCAATGAGGAAGGAGACACCCAGAGTGACCAGAGGTGAAGAATGACAGGCCTCCCCCAGTTGTGAAGGAACAGGATTGGGATTGGGGGTGAGTTAAGGAGCCTTCTCCTATATCATTGAATTAGGCCCTGAGTCCAGACCAGGGAATGTGGAGGGAGGGGACCTGTACCTTTTGACAAGATTCAATGAATTCCTCAATGGTCACCACGCCATCCTTATTCCTGTCCATCTTCTGCAAAAAGGTAGTTTGGAGGGAGAACAGGATGGATGGCGGGAGAGAGGCAGGTAGAATTCAGGCAAGTTCCCTACTGGGACCTCACCTTCTCTTCACTCCAGGGCCCTCCAGCCTACCCAGTCCCAAGCACCTGGAAGAAGCTCTCCACATGTTCCCTTGGGGCCTCCTCCCGGAGTGCAGGATACGTATACTTGCCCATCATGTCATAGATGGACTTCATGATATCAAGCATTTCCTGTTGGACCAAGAAAAAAAAAAGAGGGTCCCTCTTCAGAGCCTCTGGCCTCCAAACCGGGAGGCCTAGGCCCTAGCGCAGGCATCAGCCTGTTGGTGATGCATACGTGGGTGACATTTCCTTCCTGTGGGCCTTTTGCACCCCCTTCCAGCTCTCCAGTTGCCTTGCACACCTCCTTGGTGATGCAGCCGTCCTTGTTGAGGTCGTACAGGTTGAAGGCCCAGTTCAGCCTGTCATCGATGCTTCCCCGAAGAATCACTGACAGACCAGCCACAAAGTCCTGAGGAGGAGGCAGGGGGAGAAACGTGTCTTTAGATACCCTTTACCCAACCTCCTCTCTGGGGCCGGCCTATACATTCTGGCCCTGAAGTCCTAAGGCCTCCCGGGCCCACCTCCTCCAGCTTACCTCAAAATTGACTGAGCCATCATGGTTGGTGTCAAAGGCATTGAAGAGAAAAGTGGCATATGTGCTAGAGTCTGTAGAATATGTGGGGGACAGTAAGCTTGACTTCCAGACAGCAGAGGGCTTCCTATCTCTATGGGGTTCCCCAAGCTTCTCATCATTTGGCATTCCCAGCCCCTCCAGCCCCCCTCAGCCTAGAGATGAACAGCTGCACCCTTTCAGGCCTGCCCCCTCACCTCCTTGAGGAAAGAACTGGGAGTAAATCTGCTTGAAGTTCTCCTCATTGACAATTCCACTGGGACATTCCTGGGGAATGGGGAGACCAAGCTAAAGACAGACAAAACCCCCTTCTACTTACTCTTCTTCCTACCCCTCTCTCCTCCGTGCCCAGAGATTCCCAGAGAAGGAAAAATCTTCATGGCTCCTGGAGGCTCACCATGCAGCTTTTGTAATGGGAGGCAAGACTTCTCCCAGTACACAAATAAAATGAGATAAAATAAAATAAATAAAATACAGAACTAAGCTGGCAGTCTGGTCTGCCCGTCTCAAACAGGCCAGAACTCCGGCTAGAAGTTCCGTCTGGGAGGGACAGAGGAGGGGGTTCTCCTTCCACCTCCCTTCCCTCTCACACCCCAAAGCCAGGCCACCTTTCTGAGAAGTCCTGGGTAGGCCTCCCCCTTTTGCCCTCCCCCCTCACCCCGTCTGGCCTGGCTTCGCACTCACGTTCTTGAAGCCTCGATACAGGACCTGCAATTCTTTGCGAGTGAACTTGGTTTGCTCTTGCAGCTGATCCAGACCCTCGGGCCGGTGACACACGGTTGCCAGCTCAAACTCATCCTCCACGCTGTCTGCGAGGGTTAGGGGGGACGAGGGGAGGGAGAGCCGAGCCTCAGGCCCGGTCCCCACTGCCCTTCTCCAAAATCAGAGACCCATACACCCCCCTCATCTCCGACTCCAGGGACCAGCTTGCCAGCTCACTGGACCCCAAGCCAAGGACATGAAGCCAAGAAGAGAAGACACTGGTCAGCTTCAAGGTCTATCAGCCCAAGGCCAGTGCCTGGTCCCAGAGCCAGGGATCCGACCCATCTCAGGTGCCTGGGCCCTTGGTCCCTGGTTGGAGGGAAAAGCCCCAAACCCATCTTCATCCCAGAAGGGGTTGGAGTAGTAAAGACAGGTTTAAGAGGGGGATTCTGAGGATCCCAGCGCTGGGACTTCCCAGACCAACTCAGATCTGCCCAGTCCAGGTCTTGCCTTTTCCAGATCCTTCCTTCCTACCAAACCCCGCCTACCCCAGCCATGCCTGAGCCATGCCCCGTCCAGCTCCAGCCAAGCCCCATCCAGACCCCACCCCGCCTCCATTAAGTCTTAGCCAAGGCCCCACCCTCCCTCGGCCCCATTTCAGGACCCTCCCAGCCCCCAACATCCAGTCCCCAGGCAAATACCCCCACCCCGTGCTCCCGAAGCGCCCCCGCCCCCGCCCCGCCCCCACCAGGAGAGTAAGTCACCTGGGTCCAGCGGGCGGGGTCTGTGGGGGCGTAGGGAGGCTGGGGCAGCTAATGCTGAAGGGAGCGAACTGTCACCGAGAAAGCTGAAGACCCGGCCAACTGCAAACACACTCCTCACACTCACTGCAAATCTCACAGACCCGCGCGTTACAGTGTGCACACCCAGCCCCGCACGCAGAAGCACACACGGCGGACGGGCACAGACACATGAAATGGGCCCCACGCACGCGTGCTTGAGAGGCTCAGGAATCAAACACTCTCAAATAACTACATAACGGGCCTGTAGAGCTTGCAAGATGAAGTATGATCCTATGACATGGACAAGGCCCAACCGAAGGAACAGGTATGGACTAGGGACAAAGGGAGATCTCTCAGCTGGGAACCAGGTTGCCACCGGGAAATCCAAGTGTCCTGGCATCTGGTGGAAGGAGCGCTCGGTTCGCATGGGGGGGGGGGCGGGGACACACATGTTGACAACCAAAACATGGGACAGGACGGGAGGCCGGAGACTAGACAACCCAGCTAAGCCAGCACAGACCGCACAGCCGCCTGGACCCGCCGCAGCACTAGGCTCAGGCCTCAGCCCAACCACACTGGTCACGCCCAGACACAGGCCCCGCCCACTCGCCAAGCAGGCCCCGCCCACAGACACTCAGGCCACGCCCTCACGCTGGCCACACCCACAACCAGATTCTTCCCAAAGAGGTAGCTGCGCTTGCTGCTCACTCTTGTGCCAGCCAGCGCCCACCCTAACTCTACCGACACACTGGACACACACACACACACACACACACACACACACACACACGCACACACACACACGCACGCACGCTCCCTACACAACCGTCCCATCCCACACAACAGACCCCGCCCCGGAAGTACAGGAGCAGCACTTGCTTTCACTGACTGAGGGCAGGGCTTGGGGCCCGCAGCATGGCAGCAGCTGGAGGAACCGCTGCTTCAGCGCTTTTTTAGCAGGCCCTGGAGGGTGGCCTGGGGAGAGAGAAGACCCCAGGAAGGCACATTAGCCCCCTCTGCCCCTCCGCTCCCTTTCCCACCATCACAATTAACCCCGATTGGGGCGGGTGTTGGAGGAGAATTAAGAGGAGATGGCGAGGGCGGCTGGGGCTGGGTTAGAGGAGCCAAGTGGGTTTCAGAGGCAGCTTGGACACCTTGCGTAATGGGATGCAGCCAGGGATTGCGAGGCAGTGGGGTGGGGGGTGGGGGGAAAGTAGCACTGGCTTCAGTGTCTGCTGACCCAGTGCCCTTGCCTCCAGGGTAATGGCTGAACCTCTGAGGGTGATGTCCACCTGGGTAGGAACACCTCTCTCTCACAGACACATCCAGACAGGCATGTATAGAGACACATAGCACGATAAACGACAGAGTAATGGATGCCATAGTGACAGCCCAATACCCAGTAACTCACACCCAATGGCCTACTTCAACACACACACACACACACACACACACTGACCTAAAATTCCCTAATACAAATATAAACAACCTAGGAAAACATACATGAGGCCCTCTGCAGGCCATCTCACACACAGCGTGATCAAACCTCACAGAACACACAATGACCCTGGGACATCGTGACACAATGCATTAATGACACACTAAGACCTTATAATATCATGCCACATATCAAGGTCACAACGTCACATATTCATGATCATGTTGTGACCTATGTGCCCATGGTAACCAGATACCTAAGACTGCACCCCACCCACAGAACCCCTGTCTGTCCTGGATATGTCCACCTCTCCGTTCTACAACTCCTCATTCCAAGGCACCTAATCTTCCTCATCAGCTAACTCATCCACCCTAAAAACATCCCTTCCCGGTCCTTTCTAGTATGGCTAGCTCTTTGAAAGGGAAATCATAGCAAACTTTGATTTCAATAACAGAACTTAAGATGAGTATTTTGGTGTGAACCCACTGATCACCATTCGTCTCCCTTCCTCTTATTTACATGCTTGTCCTACAGCTCTAATTGCCTCCTAAGGCGAACCCCCACATTCACGTGTGCCTGTCTCCCAACTGACCCACCTCCAAGCTCCAGGGCCAGAGTCCACAGGTCCTGGTGTGGACACAGAGGACCCCAACTTCCTTTGGTTGTAGGTTACTTGGGCATCCCAGGTCCCACACAGGCCCTGCCCTCCCAAGTCAGTCTCCATCTTCAGAAAGTAAGTGCTAGAAGTCATGGCCTTCTCCTCCTCCAATATGTCCTCTCTCCCTCTGCAGCAGGAGTGATGGAAAGGTGGGAGGGAGGGAGTGGGTTGGACGGGGGATCGATGGCAGCCTGGCCCCTGGCCCAGGACTCCATTAGCCTGGACTTTGGTTTCACGAAGCCGGATTGCACCTGGGGACTTTGGTGGTAGAGTTGCCACCAGACAGGGGAGGTTGGGGTGGGGGGAGGGACTCCCACCCTCTTCCAAACACCACCTCTTCGCAATCCTCCTTACCTGCTCCCAGGACTCAATCTCCTCCCTCTAGGCTCTTCTGAAGGTAGAAAGAGAAAGGGGCTGCCTTCAGCCTAAGGGATGCTGGGTTTCCTAGGTGACCCCTCTTCCCACTAAATAGTCTAAAGGGGGTGGCAAGTTAGAGCCCAACTGATTTCATCTTTTTAAAACTGGATGAACCCTAGTTCCTGTCGGTACAATTCCTGTTTCCCACCCCATCCCAAACAATGCAGCAGAGGATGGAGTTTTCTGCTCTAACTGAACACTAGAGCAGGCAATGCATGGACTTCCTGTTCTCCCCAGCTCCTTCCACATCGCCCCATGCAGTCCTCCTCTCACGGTTTGTGCTTGTTTTCCTGTCCCTGGTGGAATTGGGGAACAGCCATGCTATGAAGCTGCACAGCTCTTGCTGTAACCAGAGGCAGAGACCAAAACACTCCCGGTGGAGGCAGAATACATCCCCTCCCTACCTCCAGTATCACTCTCCCCACTTGACTTGGGAGTGGAGTGGAAATTTGATTTCTCACTCCCAGTGTCTGCACCCTGGAGACCATCTGCCATTGGATCCTGAGAAGCAGGTTCCAATCTGACCCACCCCTCACCCCCCTGCCAGAGCTGACCTGCAAATGTCTCATTCAGTGTTCCTTCTCCTGTCCCTCCAGAGCCCACCCCCATCCCAAGTCTTGGGAATAGCACCGTTACATTGTCAGGAAACTCTGGGAACAGCTACACACACAACCTGATACCCGAAGAGGCTCAGCTCATACCCAGTCCACTCAGACACAGTCACACCTACGACCTGACAAAGCCACGCACTCTGTCACTTTGACACATTAAATCACATCCCCATCACAATACACAGGCTCACACAGTCACACATTCATCCTTTACTATCTCACACATGAACATACACCATCATATCCCCTGAATCTGTCACCCACTGAGTCCACAAACACTCTGTTACCTATGCCTGCAAGGATAGAGGTGTGGGAAGCATCTTCAGAGCTGTTGTGGGCCCAAAAGGGATTCCCCAGAAGTCTGGTGTTATCCTGGTTCAGGATTCCCGGAACCTCCTTCCTCTACTCTAGCTATGCATGTTTACCTCCAGACCTCTCCTCACATCTCCCAGACTTCCCTCATCTCCATACCCTAGTCCTCCTGCACTGCACCCTCATAATTTCCATCATGTCCACTGGTCTCTCTTCACCTCCCAGTCCTCCAGGATTCCCTCCTTCCCTCCCCTAGATGCCCCACCACAGAGTTCCCGTCTTTACCTCTCCCAGATGTCCTGTTCCCCAAGATTCCCTCCTCACCTCCCGGAGATGTCCGGTTCCATCACTAACCTGTTCGCTCCTGCTCCCAGTCATGTCAGATAGCCCCTCCCCAGTGCTGCAGGCGCTGCCCCTCCAGCCAGCAGCCCAGAGCTGCCCAGGCACCTGGGTTACCTTCCAAGGAGACAGGCTCAAAGAGGCCAAACTGCTCCAGGACCTTGACAAACAGAGCGAGGACCACAAGCACGGCGACCATCTCCAGCCCATCCAGGTTCATGGTGGGCCCGGGGCATGGTCCCCAGGCAGAGACTCGGCACGCCTGCCCGCCAGCCCTACTCACACCACCTCCCCCTCAGTCTCCCCATGGAGAGTAAGACTGCCAGCCTCCCTCCCCTTCTTCTCTGCATCTCCTCCCTCTCACCACCTCCCTCACCCCGCCCCTGCCCCACTGGCCTCCCAGCCACAGCTGCTTCCTCTTCACAGGCCACTCAGCCTCTCGACTGGCATCTTCTTGGGAGCCTTTGGTGTGAAGAATATGGGCCAGGCCAGGCCAGAGGAGGGATACAGTGACCAGACTCTGTCCCCAGGACAGCTTCTCCAGACACCCTGTGGCTACTCCGTGCCAAAGGGAGGGGCAGAAAGAGGAGCTGTCCTTAGGGGAGCAGGCAGGGAAGGGCAGTGTGAGAAATTATGAGTAAGTAGTAGATGTATGGGTCAGAATATGAGATGGGTGTCTGGGTGTTTTCTGGTGTGTATATTCCTGTTTGTATGGAAAATATGTGTCTGTGTGTCTATATCCGATTGTGCACCTATCAGGTGTGCGTCTTGTGTAGAAGGGTATGCGACCTGGTTATCTACGGTGTGTGTTGAAGAGTGTATTGGAATATTTCTGAGTGTGTATGGGCGTCAGTGTCTATGTTTTAGTAGACTCAGGGGCTGTGGGTCTGAGGACGGGTAATATGGATGTGTCCTATAAATAGGAGCCCCGGTCTCTGGTGGTTGTGTAATTGTATCTGCATGGAACTGTATGAGAATATAAAAGGGAAGAAAGCAGTGACCTCTCCCGCCCAGAGGACACTACCAGCATCGATTGCAGTTGCCATAGAGACAGTGGGGATGGGGCGAAGCATTCTCGTCCCACTGGCCACAGACAGGAAACTTGAGGCTCAGAGAGCGAGAATTAGGACCAACAGCCTGGGCAGGAAAAAAGTCTGCTTAGCCTTATCGGGACCTTTTTGGGAGGAGACTTGCTGCACCTGCCTTTGGAGCCAAGAGGCTCGGCTTCCTGGGAGAGGAGGAGGGACTGCTCTTCCTTCCTCCTGACTGGGCTGCCTGAGCCCTGCTGCTCCTGGGGAACCATCATTGAGCAGATGGAGAAGCCCAGGGTAGAAGAGAAATCTGAACTCGCCAAGGCACCACAACATTCCTGGAACTCCTCCCCCATCTTCCCAGCTCCTTGGGGTCAGTGGTGGCGGTGAGTGTAGGGGGTCAGTGGTGGCGGTGAGTGTAGGGGGTCAGTGGTGGCGGTGAGTGTAGGGGGTCAGTGGTGGCGGTGAGTGTAGGGGGTCAGTGGTGTGGTGAGTGTAGGGGGTCAGTGGTCGAGGTGAGTGTAGGGGGTGGGGAGAGGCCTGCAGAGCCAGGGAGCCAGACTAGGGCTGCGGAGTTACTGCACAGCTGAGTGACACTGACTGCACACTCACAGTGTGTCAGATAGGGTTCTATACGCTGAGTTTTCACAATAAACCTGTGACAGCAGTAGAGTTATCCCCACATCACAGGTGGTGAAATTAAGGCGAAAGAAGGTAAGATTAGCCGAAACCGGTTTGGCTCAGTGGTAGAGCGTCGGTCTGCAGACTGAAAGGTCCTGGGTTCGATTCCGGACAAGGGCATGTACCTTGGTTGCGGGCACATCCCCAGTAAGGGGTGTGCAAGAGGCAGCTGATCGATGATTCTCTCTCATCAATGTTTCTAACTCTCTATCCCTCTCTCTTCCTCTCTGTGAAAAAAATCAATAAAATATATTTTTTTTTTAAAAAAGAAGAAGGTAAGATCAGCATTAGAGCCTCCATTTTATTTTTTATTTTATTTTATTTTTTAAAAATATATTTTATTGATTTTTCACAGAGAGGAAGAGAGAAGGATAGAGAGTTAGAAACATCGATGAGAGAGAATCATCCATCAGCTGCCTCTTGCACACCCTCTGCTGGGGATGTGCCCGCAACCAAGGTACATGCCCTTGACCGGAATCGAACCCAGGACCTTTCAGTCCGCAGGCTGACGCTCTATCCACTGAGCCAAACCGGTGCCGGCAGAGCCTCCATTTTAAACCAGTCTGACTGTGAACCTACCGCACTCTAAACCACCACACTGCACTGGCTCCCTTCTTAAACAGCTGGAGGCCCAGCTTAGGATGATGGACCCCAGAGGAAGCCCTCTTTCGGGGTCCAGCTCTGGAATGAGTGTGTGACTGAGCCACAGTTGTGGGGTGGGGGTTGGGTAGGAGCTGGTCCCACCACTTCATGAGTCACTGATCTGTAGTTCTATAGACCACCACTGGGGGTCAGGCCATATCTTACCCATTTCTCCCGTCTTCCCCTCCCCCCGCCCCCCCAACCAACATCCCAGGAAGGTGTTGAAAGGAGGGAAGGAGGGCAGCCCCCGCAGACTTGATCCTCTGCTTCCCTCCTCTCCTCCCCCAAGAAGAAGTAAACTCAGGGACTGCTTTCAGGTTCTCACACTTTAGAGATTACAGACTCACAGGTGAAACCAGCACACGTCTTCCTGTCACAGTCCACGTTCCACACCTGGTGTTGACCACCCCTCCCCTTACCCTCATCGGCAGATCTCTTTCTTTCAGCCAGTTTGGCCGCCTCCGGAATACACCAGACTCGGTGCTATCTCTGCCTTTGCTCCTCCTGCTCCCTCTGCCCGGAATGCCCTCCCTTCTGTCCTACAGTTCTTACCTGCCGTTTGGAGACTTCTTAAATTCCCTTCCCTTCAAAGCCTCCAGCCCTCAGTGACTCTCAGATACCTGAATTTCTACTGGACTCAATGTTGGCCTCAAAAGTCAGCACCTAATTCTGGAATATATTAGTGTGAACAATAAAAGGAGGCAGCCTAGCCATACTAGGTAAGTGTTAGGTTTGATCAAACAATTAAATCAATACCCCTCTCAGGCCATTTCACTAAGGATATTATTCCCTTTGCTGAGGCCACATTTCACTTGCAGTGACCACATTCCATTATCTCCCTCCAGGTCTACATAAAGAAGTCTCCCTCCAGAACAAGCCCGCCAAAAGTCTAAAAGCCACGGACTCCTGTCCATCAGGCTCAGCCCCCTGGTGGGCAGATGATCAAATAAATTCGTGATCCCTTACCTTCTGGCCTCTTGCTCCTGCATTCCTCCTTCGGGGACCTGACAGAACCCAACGTGCCAGACTGGGTTCAAGTCCAGCTTTGCCACTTAATTTAATCTGCAATTAAATGAGCAAGTTCTCGACTTTTGTGTGCCTCAGTTTCCCATCTCATGTTTGCTGGTTGGAGTAAATGAATTTAAAATGGAAAGCTGATAGAACAACTCCAGGCACAGAGTAAGTGCTGACGTGTTTGTGACCATCATTTATTTAATTACCGTAATTTATTTATTTAATCCTCACCTGAGGATATATTTTTAAAAAAATATATTTTATTGATTTTTCACAGAGAGGAAGAGAGAGGGATAGTTAGAAACATCGATGAGAGAGAATCATCAATCAGCTGCCTCTTGCATACCCTCCACCAGGGATGTGCTCGCAACTAAGGTACATGCCCTTGCTCAGAATCGAACCCGGGACCTTTCAGTCCGCAGGCCGACGCTCTATCCACTGAGCCAAACCGGTCCCGGCAATCACAGGTTCTTAACCTAAGGCCTATGGATGGGCTTTGGGGATACACAAATAAATAGAAAAGTGCATTTTTTTTTTTTTCCTTCTGGACAGTAAACCCATAGCTTTCATCAGATCCTTCAGAGGTGTTGTGACCCAAAGAAACCCAAGGACCTAAGGATCAGACAACTATGTGATGTGAGCCAGGACAGATGACAAAATGATTCCTTTGGAATTATTTGTTTCTTGGATACCATACCCTTCCCTTGACCTTGTCAGCGTGTAGAGTTATGGAATAGAAGGCCTGATCCCTCTTCTTTGGATGGCTAAGCTTAGTAACTATATGAAAGCACCGAATCCTAGCCACTAGACCACCAGGGACTCAGCTTAGTAACTATATGAAGGAACCTTGGAGAAAGAATGGGAGGTATCTACCATTGGTGGCTACTCTCCTGAAACAAAACAAAAAAAGGTTCCCACCCCACAAAGGAAGTCTCTATTACCCTAGTGTCACCTGCTCCATGGTCACCTGCCCTGGGTCCACTCCATCTGATCCATTCTTGGCTGCAGTATAGACATAAATGTATGTCCATACTGGAGGCAAGATTGGGATGTTTATACACAATAAAATTTCCATTAGAAACTAAAGAGAATGCTCCCCCTCCAAAGAAAGCACTTGAGATTAACTGATGTCTATCAATTAGAAATTCTTGATTCAGCTTGTCACAATGTTTAGACAAAAGACAGGTGGTTTGGCACTGTCTTTTGGACATTAATATCCTGTCTCTTCCTTGTCGCCTGAAAGGAAAGAGATTCCCATGGGTGCTTCTCTGTGGTCAGGTAGGTTTCCAGCCCTTCCAGAACCTGTGCCTTGGTCTCCTGCCAATGGTTGGCCATACTGTGGGAAAGAGAGGCACTTTCTTTGGGATCTAAAAGGTTTCAGGTACATGTGGGGTAGGAGAGACAAAAAGGCGGAGACAGCAGCCTGTGCATAGCCATCGTGTTTTATTGGATCTGGTGTATTTCTTATTTTACAAAATATACAGAGGAGCCAAAAATGCAAAGCAGCCAACAGTGTTCTGATGGGAAAGGGAGCTTCCTAGGGGCCCTTCCCCTCAGATCCTAGCTAGTGGGACAAGCAGGTATAGTAAGGAGTGGCAGCATGGCAGGTGTGCTGTTGATGATATGGGACCTGGATCCTACGATCCCTGCCTTCTAGGTGTGTTCAGGGGCATCTCTGGGTAGATTTAATAGAGCAAGAGGAGACACTAGATGGGAATTGGGGAGGCTCTCTGGGGGTTGAAATAAAGCCTGAGTAGAACAAATATGCTAATGAAGCCCCCTCACTGGGTTTAGATGCTATGCCTGTTTCCCTCCTTCCCTTTTCTTCTAATGCATCCACTGGGTGGTCTTG